AATGTTGTATACAGTATGGCACAGAAATAACTTTAGCGCAAAGCCGTGTAAAATTGATATTGATTTTATATGAAAATACTTCATGGTTTCAGTTTTTTCATGTTACTTTCAGGAATTAAACATAATAATGTTTGTTTTAACTCTTATAAGTTATTCAAAAGGTAATAAAAAATGCAGCATACGGTATGCCACACAAATAACTTCAGCGCTAAATCGAGAACAATTTATATTGATTTACATAAAAAACTTACGCTGAATGGACACACAGTGATTTAATAGAACACCCGATTTATATATTTAAAACAAGGAAGAACGCTATAGTCGAGTACCTCGACTATCAGATACCCGTTACTCAAAGGGAAATGGAGATATGCAAGCAGCAAAGCGAGATTAAAATGCGCCACCTACCGGCGGTAGACAGATTTAAGCGTTATGGGCGTTAGAGTGGGCGTGGAAAATTTATTTTTGGATCAATCGATAGGTATTGACGACACCAATACATTTCAGTTAAAATTTCTTATCTAGCATGCAAATTGTGGGCGTCACAGGTTTTCGCGGTTTGTGGGCGTTTTAGTGGGCGTGGCAAACTTTTTTTTAGGTCAATCGATAGGTATTGTTGAGAACAATACATTTCAGTTAAAATTTTCTATCTAGCATCAAAACTGTAGGAGTTACAGTTTTGGGCGGTTTGTGGGCGTTAGAGTGGGCGTGGCAGTCTACTGAAACAAACTTGCGCTGCGTAAGAAGCTCAGGAATCTGTACGCCAAATCTCAATAGCCTAGCTCTCATAGTTTCCGAGATCTCAGCGTTCATCCGGACAGACAGACGGACAGACGGACAGACGGACATGGCTAGATCGACTCGGCTAGTGATCCTGATCAAGAATATATATACTTTATGGGGTCGGAAACGCTTCCTTCTGCCTGTTACATACTTTCCGACGAATCTAGTATACCCTTTTACTCTACGAGTAACGGGTATAATAATGCAAAATGCATTTTCAAAACTTAAATATCATGTATGCAAAATTAATATAGTCATTTCAGCGCCAAGAAGTTTTCAAAAAGGTACAAAGAATTTTGTATTTTTATAATCATAAGGAATCTTCTTTTTTTTTATCTGTAGCAGTCTTATGAAAACTTTTGTGGTTAGTCAGATGTGATTTATTGGCAAAACAATTAATTATTAAATATTAATTGAAAAGCAACATCACTGAAGGGAAACAACAATAACAATATATGTATAAACTCAAAAATTGCATGTTTATGGCGTTTCACAAATCCGATCGAAAAAATTAAACAAATCAATCGAATTTTAAAAATCTGATAACAGCTATTTAAGTCTGAATTTTTTTGATTTAGTTATAGTATAGTATAATCACTAGGGCTTTAATCTATATCTTTAAAATCTGAGCATAGAAATTTGTTGTCATATATTTAGAATAAGAAATGAGCTAACTTGATTTGTGTTATCTATTTTAAGCTTGACAAATAGGTCTGTTTGAAAAGTTAAGTCAATGTTATGGCAGGTGCGCATGCAAAAAATTTGTTAGTAGTAGGGAAGCGCGTGTAGCTACATTTTGTTTTAGTTTAAGAGACTTGTAATTACTTAAAAAATGTAATACATTTTTATAGTTTAGTATTTTAAAATATTATACCTCTAGGGCTGCAAAACCGATAAAATTGTCGATTACGATCGCGCCAAACTTAAAATAGTCTTAGCGAACAATAATAAAACTTTTACTCAACACACGCTATCAAGATCGGACTGCCTTCCGGGCGGATAAAATGTAATGTAATTTTCCCGTCTTAAAGCATTATTGGATCATTCGCAAAACAAATAAACTGATAACGACTTACATATACCTTTAATCATGGGCCACATTTTGAGGCACTAATCTCAGCGGGACAATCTCAGTGGGACAAGCGCTGTAATATGCCCCAAGATTCAGAAAATAAATAAATCCAAATGCACATCATCTTTAAGGGGCTTTAGTACCCCGACTTAGTCAGTGTCAAGCGGTCAGACAATCAAGTTGAGCTCTCTCTATCGCCATCGTCGGCCAGTGCAGCCTAATTCAATTAAAATTAAAACGCAGATCTACGCTACCGAGTGAAATTGCCCCAAATTCCCAACAATTATAGGTCACGCTCGTCAGTAATCTCACATCTGCGTAGGCAGCTATATCTGAATCTCAGTCATGGAATCGGACGGATCTCCCTTCGGAGTTCCTGCGACTGAATGCCTTCCCATGCACAGATCTTCGTCCATGCCCGTGAAACCGAAGCCGCTGGAGCAGAAACCCCTATTTCGATCTTCCGAAAAGGAGACGGTCAATGCGGCGGACTACTATCCGGAAAGTCCAGGTTTCGTACGGCGCAGAAAGTCAAAAATAACAGCGGAACACTTGGAAACGCGCAGCGAGCTAAAGTGAGTTACATCATAAACATAAAAATACATTCCACTTATTAATGACGATAAAAACGGATAATATTCAAATAGTGATGAACTTCATGAAGATTAAAGATTAAGTGCCCGAAATATTTATATAAAAACCTTAAAAGATTATAAATTAAATATACCTCTTTACTGTGAAATTTTAGAGTTATATCCCTTGTTGATATTACTAGCAACATACCTATCATAATATATTCCGATATAAATTCTCTCTGATTATGTTAAAGTAAATCTTTTACTAATACTATATTTTAACCACTCCCTTAGTTTCCCATATACACACGACTGGGCCGGCAGTACAATAGAGCTAACACCAGATGTGGGTTCCGGTCCGGGGACCTCCACATCCGATGGACTGAGACGTAGCCTCCATCGGGTAATGGAGAAGAACGGCAAGGAGAACGTGGTGTTTCGGCGAATTCCAGAGAAGTCCTGGCGCTACATGAGGGATCTAGTCACCACGCTGGTAAGATCCTGGTTCGGCCCCAAGAAAACGTCATCGTCCAAAGCCGATGCATTGCAATCGGATGTTTATAGCATAACGCCCAGCATACAACGACGACTCGATGAGTTGGCCAATGAGCCACCGCACCTGAGTCCCCATCTATCGAAGTCTAATCCCAACCAGAGCGAACGCGTCACGTTTAGCATATAGTTTTTAATACATTAATCAAAACATGACCCACTGAAATACTCACACATATTAATAAATACTTATTAACCAACCATATAGTCGCTTGCATTGCTAAACTGGGTGTTAAAGGGAAGTTTAAGAAGTACTACAATGGGGTTACGTAAACCTAAATCATTAATCAACATTGTAAAAAGTACCTTGTAACTTTGGTAATACTTAAAGGCTGTTTTTTTTGGAATCGCACAGATGGAACTGGAGTGGAAATACATGCTGACTTTGTTCATTGGAAGTTACTTCCTCAGTTGGCTGCTCTTCGCCGTCCTCTGCTACGTGGTGGCCTACTCCCACGGGGACTTCATCTTTGATCCTGTGACTGGAAAACGGATGGGGGAAGGCGAGCATCCTTGCGTCTACGGAGTGCAGAACTGGGTGGCCATGCTTATATACTCGGTGGAGACGCAGACAACCCTTGGATTCGGCGAAAAGTACGCCAGTGAGGAGTGTCCAGAGACGATATTTCTGTTCGTCGTGCAGATGATGAGTGCGGCTTTGATCGAGGGCTGTATGATCAGCGTGATCTATGCCAAAACAGCCCGACCGGCCCGCCAGCTTACCAAGCTCAAGTTCAGCGATAAGGCGGTGGTGAGTAAACTCCCCTGATTCGGAGGGGCAACACTGTGTAAACCCTCCATCTAGCAATTATGCCACGCAGATCTGTTATCGTGATGGGCTCCTGTGTTTGCTCTTCCGCGTGTGCGATCCCCGCGAACAGCAGTCCATTGAGACCAAAATACGCGTCTATATTATCGTGGACAAACGGTGAGTCACTTTCGCATTTTCGGAATATCATTGATCTCGAGATTCGTAAATAACAATTATATCCGAGGATTATCTAGTCAGTTAATTATAATTATAATTACTTTTCTAGTTAATTCAATCTTAAAAACATTTTGAACTTGGCAACTAGAAGGTATTAAACTTAAAAATATTGTATTATAAAGTATACAAGTATATTAGTTATAATTTGAAATATAATTACATTCACATAAGTTATATTAAGGATGTAAGGTTAATTTATAAAAGCATTAAAAAACTTGATTGCTGCCTCTTTAGTCCCAGTCATTAGAAAAAAGATAGTTGAGGTACAAATTAGATAATTCTTGCAACTAGATAAGACTTGCAATTAATACGATTTCTCAACTTATCTACTCCGTTTACAGAACTCGCGAGGGTGAGATTGTAAAAACTCACGTGGAACTAAAGCTGGAGGGAAACGGAGAACAAATTATTCTCTGGCCCGATGTGGTGTGCCATGTCATCGATGAGACCAGTCCGCTGTTCCAGTTCACCACCGCCAAACTCTTCAACGCTGCCCAATTTGAGCTGTATGTGTCCATAGTTGGGACTTCCCCTGCCACCGCTCAGATGACTGAAGCCAAGACTTCCTATCTTCCACGGGAGATTTTCTGGGGCCAAAGGTTCATCAACATTATCCACTACGATGCACAAAACGAGCGCTACATCGTGGACTACGAGAATTTCAACAGGACCATTTCGGTGGACATGCCCATGATGCTGCCTACAAATGATCAGTTTAAGCTGGAGTACAGAAAATAAATGCGAAAAGTAATGTGCAACTAACTATATTATATATTGGAGAAAGTTAATCGACCATCGCTTTACAAAACTCGCATTCCGCAAATAACGAAGTTAACATTATCATATAGACCGAACCAAACAAACTTTCCGGATTTAAGGCAATAATTTGTATTCAAGGCTTGGCTAAAATAATTTTTGTGGCACCGGCCATTAATGAATTATTTATCATATTCCTCTTTCAGCCTCGACTCTACATTTTATTTTCAGATTTTCAATTAAATTCCTTTTCTTTTTTTCAAAAATGTTCCCACGGATTCACAAATAACAATTATAAAATACTAAAAATATTTAAATAAATTATGGACATGATGAAAAATGTTTTTAAAATGCTAAATGTACGTTATTCACCGCAGGATTCAGTTCGCTCCTGCTCCTGATAGAACTTCAATCTAGCCCTCAACATTTCGTTTTCGTGCTGTAGGCGTGAAAACTCTCGCATAAAGCTGTCGCCTCGGAGAAGTAAAGCCAGGGCGTCGCGAATCTCTACTGTATTATCCATTTGCTGCTTCATGTAAGTTGCCATATGCGTGACCACCTGACGCTGATTGCAATGACTAACGTACTCCAGTTCCCTCTCCACCTGTCCGCAACGCTGATCGACAAACTCCCTCAGCTCGCTAAACTCCTTGCGCCAGTCCACATCCATTTGGGCAGATAGTCCGCTCGAGGATTTGGCCAGCAACTTTTGGGGCTTCAGCTGAGGGTTCGACGATTGCGGTGTGACATTGGCGTGATGCGGCGTACTGTTTCGACTGGCCGAGAGCAAGCGCAGCCGACGCTTCAATTCGGGGTCCACCGGCGGGGGATTCTCCTTGTCGCTACCTGCGCCCGTACTGCTGGCCACAGAAATGTTCTCCGACTGCTCCTCGCAGTGCTCATCCGTCTCGGCGATCTTCATTAGCTTTCCCTCGCCGGAGAGATTGCTTCGATCCTTGAGTGGTCCGCTTAAGGTCTCTGAAAAGGATAGAATGAGCTCGCTATTGAAAATCGCATTGTAATGACGTAACAGAAACTTACGTTGTAGTGACTCCGTGGTGAAGCTGTGGCCGGAGTTGTCTACCGAGCTGTGATTAGATCCCATTGGAGGACAAAGACTCTGACGCTGGGCAGTCTCATTTGATATAGGCTTCCGGTTGAGGGTCTCCCAATCAAAGCTGTCTCTGTAAGAGGTGCCCAAACGCGTAGACATGCGATCCACAGCCTTCGGACCTTGAGCATCCAAAAAATCGCAAAAAGAATCCCGGCGAACAGAAGCAGGAGCTGGCGCGCCGAAACCCATTCTGTCCAGCTGCTGCTGTGTACTCAGCAAATTAGCGGCAATAGATTTGCGCAGCTCATCGCTGGGTGCCCGCTCTACACGAGGAGTTTCTGTCTCCAATCCAGTTGCATTTTCCAAACCGTTTAGGCTGCCATTCTGCTGGTTTTCCCCGCTTGGCATGGGCACAAAAGCGACCCGGGTCACAGCCGTATCGTGTACACTCTTTACAGCCAAAGGAGTCTTTGTGGTTCGCATATCGTAGGCAATCAATTCCCCTTTAAGGTTTCCAGCACAAAGGTAAGTGCCACATTCACTCAGCGCAACCGTTGACAATGGAAGGGAGTAGGTCAAGCGATCCGTGGAGGCCTGAGCCCGATTCCGCCGGATGTCGAAGATGTTAATCTTGCAATCGTAGCCCACGCTGACCAGCAGCGCTGGCTGGGACGCGCACATCCCAATGTCTCGGCAGGGTGCACTGTGTGCCTCGCTGGCGTGGAATATCTTTCGCATGCCCTGCACATCGTACACGGTAACAGCGCCCTTGTAGGAGGCGATGGACAGATGGAAGCGCTTGCGCGGATTAAAGCGTACCAGAGTGGAGCTGGAAAAGCGAGAAAAAGGAATAAATTATAGATTTACATAAAATTAAAGCAAATTCAGAGAAAGACGAAAAAGGGTCGCTAAAGAATCAATTATGTTCCGACATATTTGATCCTTGATCAATCAATTTTAACATCCTTCTAACTAAGGATTGCCAACAGGTATTGGTCAGAACTCTGAACAGCTTTCAGAAATGGAATCCTTAACTCACTCGCCATCGATAGTGAAGGTGTTGGTCTTCTGCTTGGTCTTGGTGCCCAGGATGCTGATGTCGCCACCATCCCGAACGGCGGCTATATACTCATCCGTATTGTTGTAGTCCATGTAGAGGACAGTGCTCCTCTGCGGATCAGCCGGAAACCGGTGGATGAGCTGTGCCGTCCGAAAGTTGTAGATCTTGACGCAGCCGCTCTGGCCCACGGCGATCTCCTCCAGCGATTGCTTGGCACAGGCCACACAGTAGGCATTATCGATGGTCAGTTTGCGGACGCGCTGAATCTCGGGAGCTGTTCAATGGGGGATGGTTAGATCCGCTGGAATTCAGATCCTAACCTCGTTCTTACCCTTTCCTTCCTTCTCCCTTATCCGCATCACCGCCAAACCCACTTTATTCACCTCAACGAAGACCCGCCGTTGGCCATTGAACTGGAAGTCGGTCGGCTCTGCGCTTTGGTGCACAAACTCGGACGTCGTCTCCAGATCCGCAAAGTCGGAAAGGACAGTCTTTTTGGAGGTGGAAACCAAATACATTTTCGCTTTACCCTGTTGAACGTCAAACAATTCAAATTTGAACGCTGGTTGTTTTTGTTTTTGTGTGACTGTCGAGTGTGACCGCCGCTTTTGTAGCCCAATATGCCAATACCCGCCGCTGACTTTTAAAGACGTTTCCACTTTCAATTTAAATTAAGTTTAATTCAATAATACTATAACACTATAATTAAAAACAAAAATAATCAAAAAAATAATATTTTATGTTTTTTCTATCCTTTTACAAAAAATGGCATTGCATTCTTGCAGAAAACCAATATAAACTCAAAAAAAACTTACGTGGTCTTCCATTCCTTTCTACTCAGATTTCCGTGCTATTCGCATACATCTGCCATAACTTTCAATAGAAGCAATTTGTTTTGTATTTTAACGCTTCAAAAGCTAAGATCAAAAGGAAATAACCCGGATTTTCTGTAAAGTGAAGATAAATTGTTAGTGGGCATTTCGCATGTGCAGCAGCCGCTGCGGTCGCAGTGTGAAAGCGTCGGCGAGTGCGGTCACACTAGTCATTCACAACCAAAATCATCGGATCATTGGCAGAAAGGCAAGAAGAAGAGCAAGCAATCACCTGCGAAAAAGAAATAAATTGCCGAGAAATGTTAAAGACTCTGTAGTGAGGCTGTTTGGCGTGCGTTTGAAATGATTCCTGGCAACCAGTAGAAGCATTTAGTGACCACGCAACTCATCCCCTTCCCTCCGCTGCAACGGTTGAGCCCCTGGACAAAGGCCAGCGCCAGCCTACAACAACACCACAGAGACGGCCACAGCCAATTGGCACCCACACACACGCACACACTGCGTAGAAGACAACAACAACTGGGAAACGGAGGCCTTCAACTGCTGGAAAAATGGAAGCGGACGGATTAACCAACGAACAGACGGAGAAGGTGCTCCAGTTCCAGGACCTTACCGGCATCGAGGACATGAACGTGTGCCGCGACGTCCTGATAAGACACCAATGGGATCTCGAGGTATGCATATGTTTATATGACACAGTCGCGGTCGGAATAAAAGAGTCGGTTGGCATACAGTGTTCACTGCAAAAAGTGATCATATTTTTTTAAGGGATTTTAAGACTGAACTATACGAACGTAATTTACACCATGCCGGACCTTACCACCATCATTCAGTTTTTTTATATATCTAGACTTTTGGATAACATAACTTTTACATAGTACTATTGTTTTGTTTTTTAATAGCTTAGTCATTGTTTGTTTTTTTATTTTTTTTTTAGTTTACAAACTCTGACTTTAATGCCGACCACGACTGTAAAATTGTTTTTTGGCTTCTCAAACTGGCCTTCTTTCCCTTTTCAGGTGGCCTTCCAGGAGCAGCTTAATATCCGCGAGGGTCGCCCTACTATGTTCGCCGCCTCCACGGATGTGCGAGCGCCCGCTGTGATCAACGACCGCTTCCTGCAGCAGGTGTTCTCCGCCAACATGCCCGGCGGACGGACAGTCAGCCGGGTGCCCAGTGGCCCAATACCCCGCAGCATCACCGGAATCCTTGGCTACATGATAAACTTCGTGTTCCAGTACTTCTACTCCACGCTGACGAGCATTGTCAGTGCGTTTGTGAACCTGGGCGGCGGAAACGAAGCTCGCTTGGTGACCGATCCGCTGGGGGATGTGATGAAGTTCATCAGGGAGTACTACGAGAGGTATCCCGAACACCCAGTCTTCTACCAGGGCACCTATGCCCAGGCCCTGAACGATGCCAAGCAGGAGCTTCGCTTCCTGATCGTCTACCTGCACAAGGATCCCGCCAAGAACCCCGATGTGGACTCTTTCTGCCGCAACACCCTCTCGTCGAGATCGGTCATTGACTACATTAACACACACACTCTGCTGTGGGGCTGCGATGTGGCCACGCCAGAAGGCTACCGGGTGATGCAGTCGATCACGGTGCGCAGCTATCCGCTGATGGTGATGATCAGTCTACGTGCGAACCGCATGATGATCGTTGGACGCTTCGAGGGCGATTGCACGCCCGAGGAGCTGCTCCGTCGCCTCCAGTCGGTGACGTCCGCCAACGAGGTGTGGCTGAGTCAAGCGCGTGCGGATCGCTTGGAGCGAAATTTCACCCAGACTTTAAGGAGACAGCAGGACGAGGCCTACGAGCAGAGTTTGCTGGCGGACGAGGAGAAGGAGCGTCAACGGCAAAGGGAGCGGGATGCCGTACGCCAGGCGGAGGAAGCCGTAGAGCGGGCTCGCCGCGATGTGGAGCTGCGCAAGGAGGAGATTGCCCGACAAAAGATTGAACTGGCCAACCTGGTGCCATCGGAACCGGCAGCGGATGCAGTCGGCTCTATTGCAGTTGTATTCAAGCTGCCCAGTGGAACACGCCTCGAGCGGCGTTTTAACCAGACGGATTCGGTGCTGGTAAGCTAAAAGTAATTCGGATTGCTCATCTATGAGTAAACCAAATAGAATTGCTCATCATCTTATCGGCTTAAGCAAGTGTTTACTCAGCCATTTTAAAGCTGAATTACACATTTTGTTTGTTATTTTTAAATCGTGCCAGGGGTTTTTTTGATTGAAAAATCATCCTGTTCAACAACAGAATTTGCATGACCGAACAAATTAAATTTTTTTCGATTTAATTGTTGATCAACAATGCCGAACAATATGCGAAACAACTTTGAATTCAAATAATAACACTACCACTATTTATTTTTAGGACGTATATCACTATCTATTTTGCCATCCCGATTCCCCGGATGAGTTTGAGATCACAACGAATTTCCCGAAGCGGGTGCTCTACTCGAAGGCAGACGTGGATGCCGCCGAAGGAGCAGACACAGCCAATCAGACGCTGAACAAGAGCCTCCAGGACGTGGGACTCAAGAACCGCGAGGTGCTGTTCGTGAACGATCTGGAAGCGTAACCAAGCCACCACCTACAAATGAGAGCACCATCGTGTTACCAGCTGCAACGCATTACCAAAACTTGAACCAAGTTTTAAGTAGTCAACGTCCAAGTCGAAGGATAAGCAGAGAAACTATTCCTAATTTAATCATGAATATTAATATAAATAATTGTTTAACAATGTTTAGGTTGATTCTCTTGTAATCTTCGCACCACCACCACCCACCCGTTCCTCCCTCAAACATTCACACATGAGTAAAAGTCTTTTCCAGAATAATTTCCGTAAGCCACATTTTTAGTTTCCCCTCACTTAAGGTTTTTTGTTATGTCTAGCTGTACTTATACTTCCGCCTATTTAACCAAAATAGAGCCAGAATCGTGTTATTTGACGAAGAATTTGAATTTAATCTGAATGTGGTCGAATTGAATAAATTGAAGTTATAAATAATCATTTTTAAGTGATAGCGTTCAAATCAACACGGGACAGTTAATAAAATGTAGTTGTATAGATACTACTTAAGCCGAATCCATTGTTTTTGAAAAAAGAAATACAACTCTTTGATTTGTTATTCAAAAATAATTAATTGGGTAATAAAGTAAATGACATTTAATTTAGAAACTTCGTTATCTAAGAACTGAATTATAAATTTGAATATTTCTATGGCAACGTCATCGCTCAAAATTATCGATACTTTTTGGTGATGTGCTACCTAACTGCAACCATTACGAACGACTCACGCGTCTCAACAACTAACAAGAATGAAATTGAAACAAATTATAAATTTTAGCTTGACAAATAAATAATGCGACAATTTGGTTGTACCGAATCGATACATTTCAATTTTAAGTCAAAACAATTCAATAAGTTATACAATTATTTATTACGCACTCACGACAGAAAGCTCGATCCCATCTCTAGATTCCCATAGTCATACATAGCTTCTTAGTCAGCACGAATTGTCACGACCAAAAAGTCGTGTGAAAATCATAGATTTACGCTGGAATTTCCGGGAACGGACGATTATAGTGATCAAGAAGACAACTACGACTGGTTCACCACCGACGAGAGGACACGTCTGCTGCCCGGGAAGAACGAAAAATCAGGAAACTCCGGGTTGCGGCCGAAGATTCGGCAATTTACTTCTAATCTGCTCAACGTGGATGAGGTTCGCAACATTGCACGCAGCCTACGACAAACCAATTACGAAAAGCTAAACCAGCAGGTCAAGAACTACCAGGACATCCGTAAAAACCCAAAGACCATGTCGGCACCTTCGACTTCCTCTGTGGGCGATGCTGCGGCCGCCCTCTCCGGCAATCTTCAGTTGCCACCTCTCCGCACCCTCGATGACTTCATCCTGGGATCGGCTCGATTCCAGCTGCCCAATCTGAAGGACTTCGAAAAGTGGGGCAACCGAGTGGTGAAGAATCTGCTGTACTATCAGACCAACTACTTTCTACTCTTCCTTACCATCTACGCTTTGATGATATTCTTCAATCCGGCGAAGATTATCACTGGTCTGCTGGTTCAGGCTTTGATTATCGCCGTGATCTGGCAGTTCTTCAGTGCCAAGTCCAAGAAGAACTTCATCGCCAGTCGTCTGACCGGAGGAAATGCCAATGCAGCTGAGCAGAATGCCCAGCAGAAGTGGTACATCCTGGCTGGAGCTCTCCTCGGCGGATATCTTCTCCTTCATCTCCTCAACGCCGTGCTCCTGACTACCTTCACCGTCCTGCTGCCCAGCGCGGTGACCTTCATCCACGCCTCGTTGCGATTGCGAAACATTAAGAACAAGCTGACCAACAGCATCGAGAGCTTTGCTCCCTCCACGCCCATGGGTTCCCTGTTGGATGCCCTAAATGTTCGCGCCGATGGGGTGTTTAATTAGGCCCAGCCATATATGTAGACCGGTTTGTCGCAATTGGAAATAACGTTTTTATCGCTAGTAATTCTTGTCAATGTTGATCTTTGCAGAACAAAATCCCTGTATTATTATAATCGAATTGATCTTTATTTTTGTATTGAACTATGATTTTATTATCCATATACGCAGCTCTTAAATGTCAATAAAGTTTTCCCAGGAAATTCACTCACTTTTTGGGTTGGGCATAAAATCTTATCTATAAGGGCCAACCTTTTAAGAAGTTATCTTGTTGATCCATCCCAATTTATTTAACAAAAACGGCTTTCTCATTGTGAAATTCCCTTTCCGCATTGAATAACAGTTTAAAACAAATTCCTCCCATGGATATGGGGACTATCAGCAAACACACTCTTAATTTAATCAAAAGTTTTAACCTTTTAATAGTTAATTAACATAATTCTGGGTTTTATGACAGACTTGCTTGCGCTAATTCGCCATTATCTGATCACATTAAAAATAGTATTGGCTTTTGATTTCGATTTTAAGTTTTCTCGTTGTTGATTTCTCCACTTAAATGATTAGGGTTTCTAGTTGTTCAGGGGATGCAGAGCTGGAGCGTTGGACGCTGCAATTTCAGCGGCAGTTGGAGCATCATCATGCTTTCCACCCGTCTGCGATAAATGCTTGACGAGATCGACCCAGTCCCAGCCACGTTCGCGATCACCTTTGTGATCGGTTCGCTCCCACTGCCGGCGCTTTTGCGCCTTGGTCAAGTGCTCCTTCTTGGGCTCCTTTTTCTTAGCATCTGCATCGGCACTGGGATCGGAGATTTTTAGAGCACCTACGCCCTCGTCTACGGCTACTATGGTGGGTGCGGATTCGGGCTGGGCGGCGGTCAGTTGCTCGAGGTTGTCCTTAAGGCATTCAAACAGGGTGTAGGTCATGCCACAGCCTAACCATTGAGCAGCTTCCGTATTAAGGGCGGTTTGGATCTCCTCCTTGACAGCGGGCAGTCTATAAAGTAGAATCAGAAAATTAGCAAAGGTATAAATAAGAGTGAGTTTTATAAAATCTGTACGTATGGGCCAAAGGCATCCATTACAGTTTATCTATTTTTAACCTTCTATGTATGTACTTCCAATGATAAATCGGGCCTAAACGATCAAAACTAATATTGAAGTCCCAATGTAGTGGTTACAAGTTCGTTAAATCCTGATATAACAAATAATGGGCATAATATCATAGTCAGGCTCTAATAGTTGGAACATAAGTTTCGTATGGCTTTTTCACATTGGAATTGGGAGTTTCTTGGGGAATACTAAACCACTTACAGATTTCTATTATAAAATGTATTCATATTGATCGTTGGCGCCTCATCGGGATAGTTTTCGCCCCATTTCAGCTCTACCAGAAAAGACTTGTAGCTGTCCTCTTCACCATACTAGAACACAATTAATTAAACATAAATGCTTGTAGAAAAAATGTTATCCATGTGGCTTACTTTGTACTGAAATGTGACGCTGTCTACTTCCTTAAAGTTTGTATCGCCCTCGTAAATCGACTGCAACGCCTCGCGTTCATCCGTTTGCTGTTCCAGTGGCGTGGACATTATGTCTTATTTTTATCAATTTATGTTAAGGGTCTGTATCATTTTTTGTTTAAAATAACATAAAAATCACAAAAACGTTTTGTAACAAAAACAAAAGCAACAGCAATAATCAGCTGGGCACCGGTAGTAGTGCCGCAGTTTAAACATCCTAATTATAACTTGTTTCCACTTTTGCACTCGGTTTCCACCTGCAGATTTACATTTTAAAGGAATCATAACTTTTAATAAATATACCTCCTTGTTTACATTAAGAGAATTTGGTTATTAAAATTGCTATAAATGGAAATAAACAAAAATGGTATTTTAAAGATTGATATGTCAAATAAATCAATTCAAAAATAAAAACAGTTTTTATTGAGAATGGTTTACCATTACGGAAGTGAATGAGATGTGGTGTGAACAGCCTAGATGCATTCCGATAGGCACAGTCACTTAAGTCACCCAGTGTTATCGAGCCAGTACAGTTCAGCTCGCAGAACAACATAAAAGAACGCAAACAATAACAACATAAAAACACATAAAATGCAAAGTGCGCGGGTGAATCATCGTTGAGCAACAATTAAAATTGATTAACACATGATCGTGCGACGTCATTAGCAGTGGCAACAACAACTGGGTAACTGGGTACCCCGCGAAAAGTATGTCGACAGATGCGATTCCCGCGTCGGAATGTGCGCACCTGGTGGAATTCAAGCGATTTTTGGCCACTACGGCGGAGAAGGCAGCCGTAAGCGAGGAGGTTCCCAGCCGGAGTTGTGTAACCCGCACGTCCAGCGACACGTACAAGGTGTCCAGCGAGGAGCGCCATGCTGAATTGGTCGCAGCCATTTGGCAGCAGTTGGGCTCTCGCGGCTGTCCGGAGCACTTCCGGCTGAAGCTGCTCCACCGATCCACGCAACAGCTTGAGCAGGATCTGTGCTTCGCCAAGGAGTGCGAGGTCACCGTAGATGGTCCGCCGCAGTACGATCTCCTTAAGCTGCAGAAGTTCGTGGCCAGTGAGTTAGAGAAGTTCCTCCTAAAACTCACCGACAACTCTGAGATGGAGCGCCTTAAGGACTACGCTGATGAGAAAGTGCTCGGAAACAACGAGTGCCACCTGGTTAAGGAGCCCCTGCACGCATCCGCTGCTGTAAAGAACAAACCCAGGAAAATGGAGGACCGATGTGTTTGCTTGGACCGATTTGGGGAGATGTACGGATTGTCGGATAAAAGCACTCGTTTCTTTGGCGTCTTCGATGGTCACTCTGGTTCTTTATCAGCCAGTTATGTCACCAGCCAACTTCCCCAGATATTGGCTGATCAACTTAAGGCGCAGTCAGATCCACTAGACTCCTCCCCAGACTTTTATCGCAATGCTTTCGAGTCGGCTTTTCTGCTGGCAGACGAGCGTTTTACCCAGAAGAAGATCACCAGCGGCACAACAAGCGTGTGTGCCTTAATCACCAAGGATCAGCTGTATATAGCCTGGGTGGGTGATTCCATGGCTCTTCTGGTGGGCAAAAGAACCCAATTGCAGCTAGTGAAACCGCACAAGCCAGAGAATCCAGATGAGCGCAAGAGAATAGAAACAGCCGGCGGCACTGTGCTCCATGCCCAGGGTCAGTGGCGGGTTAATGGCATCCTGAACGTGGCCCGTTCCATTGGTGACTATAGTTTGGAGGCAGTGATCGCGGAGCCGGATTTCGTCGACGTTCAGTTAAGCGAGGCTCACGACTTTCTTGTACTCGGCACCGATGGCCTGTGGGATCATGTACCAGAGTCCTTTATCATCGAAACCGTTTACGAGTCCCTGGCGGATCCCACAACGAAGCTGGAAGACATTCCCAAATTACTGATAGAGGCTGCAAAGGAGCGAGATTCGCTGGACAACATAACAGCGGTGGTGGTCTTGCTCAAACCTCGCCATCAGATAAAAAATCTTTAAAAGTTGGAGTTTGGAGCACTAGAAATCCAAGCAGCGAAATTTTTTTATTGTTACCCGCATTGGGGTGGGTTAATTTGTACAAATTCAAAACAACTTAGTAGCGAAAAGTAATCTTGAAATCATCTCTTTTTACTTGAGACACATAAAAATCATATCAAGTTTTATATATTCAAAAAAGAAATGTGCCAAAAATCTTAAAGTAATTAACAAAAGCATTATTAGTTCGATATTGACAAGCATATTATAGAAATATACAAAAAATATTCAATTTTCTAAGATATAAATAAACGTTCACAGACGTTTATCGTGATACAACGAATATTTTGTCTAAGTAAATGAAAGATCCCGAATCCTTGCCCAATTTAAAACAATCGATATATCCAAAGATTACTTTCCGAACCTACAATTATTGATCAACGAAAATTAACCCATGCCGGCCTGCATTGTTGTTTCGTTTACTTTATTGTTGTAATGTAAATAGCTTGGAGCGGATCGTGATGCTCCTCCCTTTATTGTCACATTCTCACGTGCCTACGTGGTCCTGGAAATGGCACTTCCCACTCCCGGTCCACTTGTTTGGTTGCTCGAATAAGCTCAATCAAAATATTTTGTGGTTGCTCAGCAGTTGAAGAAAACTTACAGAAATTAAATCCAAGTCTTCGCTTATGGCAACTGTTGTTAACCCGGATATAGATATATACAAAGTGCACACGTACGCACAGAAACAAATTTATATATATTTTAGATTAGCCTGCAAGCATATTTATACACAATGAAGTTGTTTTCGGTCGCTTAGTGCTTCCTGCTGTATGATAATAAGCAAAGCCAGGTACACATATATTGTAGACCTAGTTATATACGTATATATTTACACCTGTAAACCATATTTAATGATCCCACACAGATTAAGTACCTTTTTATACAAGTCTAATGAACCTTTCATGCATTTTATCGAACAACCCAAACACATTTTTAACAACACACGCAAATTGAATAAGGAGATTTTTTATTGGAATAATAAAAATAATTCACAGAATTGTTTCGCCACTCTCTCTAGCTTGGTGGCGGTTGTCCCTGATGCGGCTGGTTGGTTGGTGGGGGCGGGGCGAACGGCGGTGGTGGCGGGTACATGTGAGGGTACATCGGCGGCATGGCGTAGGGCATTCCATAGCCATAATTTGGCACTGGGAAGTGCATGCCAGGCTGCTGCGGCGGCATGTTATAGTTGGCCGCTGATTGATGGTAGTTCTGATAGTAGTTGGAGTGCCAGCTACCCGGATTATAGCTGGGATGGTAGTTATATTGCTCATCTCGGGGCTGGTTCTGGTTGTTCTGCGAAATGGTGGGTCTTTGACTCTGCCTGAAGCTCTCCCTCTGTCCGCGACGTCCGCGCTGGCGTGGTGGAGGAGCTACTGAGGAGGCCTCTGTGGCCGTTGTTGCCACCGAGGTAACTGTATCCACCGAGTCTGTAGAGTTCGTACGATCTCTTTGACGGCGTTTTCTTTGCTCCTGCCTAGCTTCTCTTTCCTCGTCATCATCCGAGTAATCTACATAGCGTGAAGGTGGTTCCACGTCGTGCTCCCACGAAGCATCCGATCCTCGCACTTGCATCAGCTTGGAGAGGATTACAAACTGGGTGTGTTCGGTTTTCGGAGCACAGTACACCACATCGCCAATTTTGATTCCCCTGTCCAGGATCTGTTGGTTACTGTTGAATCGAACGCAGTACAATGGATCCGCCACCTGACCCAACACATCGAACACCTCTCCCAGGACCTTGCGGCCCTTCTCCAAGAACAGAACAGTGTCCAGATCGAACAGCATGGAATTCGGCAGTACAGAAACCAAAACGAGCTGATCCACAATGGATTGAACCTTGCCCAGTTCAACACATTCATCCTCGGGTACAGTGATCTCCAGCTGATGGATTGGGGGCAGCTCATCGAGGAGCATTTCACCCCGCACTTTTGGGGGCTGACGTCGTCGGCCCGATGTAGCACCATCTTCATCCAAGTCCTCGTCATCCTCATCGCACTCCACGGTGTTGATCCTCTTGTCTATCTTCTTGCGAAGTACAGTCAGGTACTCTCCTTCTGAGCCGGACTCGGAGTCACTGCTGCTACTGCTATCCGAGCTTTCGCCGCCCGAGCTAACAGCCACCACTGGACGATAGGCGGTGGCGGAGACAGTGTCCGTTACAGGAACTTCAACCACTTCGTTGTCACTATCGTGGGCGGGGGTAACTTCCTCCACATCCGAATCATCGGAACTGTAGGCGGCCAAAAGACTAAGGCCACTTGGTTGAGGATCTTTGTTAGCCTCTGGAGCGGGCTGCACTTGGGTAATTGGTTGCTTAGGTGGGTTTTCAGTAGGCGAAGCATTGTTGGTTGTTATTGGTGAAACGGTTTTCTCCACTACGGATGCTTCACAATCCATTTCTTGAGGGGATTCCTGCTCTCCTCCGGGATTTCCTGACGGCACCTCAGCTGGCAATGTCTCGCACTCCATTCCCGCAACCTGTTGGTCCTTTGCAAGCCTTTCAACTGAATCTGAAACCTTTTCCTGAACAGAAACCGATGCGTTTACTTGTGTTGACCCATTGGCTGACGAATTCTTCACATGGTGCTCCATTTCTGGTGGTACTGCGACTGCATTTGTGGTTTCTGCTTTGAAATACTAATGTCTTTATCGTGTTTATCGCATAAGCTCGTTAGCTTACCCGTGGGGGTTGTTTGCACCTTATCTGTTGATAGGTCCCCTTCCATGGCATTATGTTTCCCCGTTTCAATGGGTGTTTCGATAGTTTGGGGTTCTTCAATTGAAGTTGAGGATTTCCCAGCCGTTGGCTGCTCACTTTCCATAATTATTCAACTTTAATTTGGCACAGATTGTATAGAAATCAACAGAAATCGAACCAATAAAACAGAACAGACCAAAATACACGTTGAGTGCGCGCACGTGTTGTCTTCCTCTGCACAATAGACCATTCACTAGAAATTAAAAACTATACGATTCGGGGTGAATGGCTAAGTATCTATTCGCGGTTTGAATGTAAAATATTGAAAATAATTTTGAATATCCAGACCACACACTTGTGCAACATAAACAAGTTTTTGATTTTTTTAAAATTCTTTTTACTTTTATTCATTGGTTTCATTAAAATCATTTGCGTGTTGAGACGGTATGCACATAATTCATATATTGCATTAAATGGAAAGCATTTTGTTTAAGCTTAAGTGGACGCCAACTTAGATATTCGAAGCTAATAACTAACATAATATTGCACATTTCGCAAAAAATTAGCTTAAAACTTTGTACATTTTTTGTCCAGAATGCAATTGAAGCTGTTTTTTTTGTAGTTCGTTGTGAGATTTTCCTTGTTTATAATCTAAAAACGTACGTAGGTTCTCGAAATATCGAAATACATACTTACAATAAGTCCTTACAAAATAGATTGTTGTGTTTCTTTCCGTTTCCCATCTAGTCCTAATAGCAGCTAGTAATTGAAATAATGTTTTCCGATAAATTCATGGGTATAAGCAGGGGTAAAATATCTTATCAAATATCGGTTACAAACATTACTTTGTGCTAAGGCAGAGTTAGTTGGAAGATGTTCAAGTGCGAACGAGTTTCACAAAGCTAAATCTAGGTAATTATCAATAGCACTTAGTTAATATCAATTTTTTTGCTCTTGCTCTATGGTAGCCATGTGAGATATGTGAGAATGATAATGATGTCCGAATGAAATCAATTGTTCAGGTCAAAGCAAGCAAATCAGGTTAAAGTCAAGCCATCGAAGTCAGCATCCTTCTACACCTTCCAGTCCAAACGGAATTCGTCTACCAATAGCAAATGCTGATGGATGAGCCAACCTGTAAGTAATGAAAAATGTTATTAAATGGTATGGGGTATATTAGAACCATCCGTACCCTCCTGCTGCGCCAGCCCGAAGAACTCCTGCCACTTGGTCTGTATGTCCCAGTACTTCTCCTTGATCTGATTTCTGTCCTGCAGATAGGACACTGCAAACACTGCAAAGAAATACGCCTTGAGCACATCCTGCGGACGCGTTTCAAAGTGCAAATATATGCCCAAACATTTCTTTGTCTCCGCAATGATGAAGTGCTCATGGGGATCGAAAGAGGATACAATGTTTTCGATAATGCTGCTGCTTTTATACTCGTCAATCAGATTTTTTACGCTAAGTCCCAGCTTTATGTTCAGAGATACAGAAACGGTCTTTCCAACTGTGACCCTCTCCATCGCATTTACCTAAGAATCATTTTAAAAGGTTTAAAAAATTTGTAATACAAATAATGATTGACCACTTACCTGCTGTGGACTGAGCATTCTGGATGACCTGAAGAACTCTTCTAGAGCTATCAAATACCGGGACTCGTTGAAACTTCGCAGGCAAACCGCTCTTACCGCCTTGAGATTGGCGTACAGATGCAGACTGACCACCACGTAGAATACGGTGTACAGAACAGCCTGGCTCTTAATCAGCGTGAGGAGATATAGTCCCACAAAGGAGGCCACCAGATTCACGCACGTCTCCTGCGAACTATCCTTCGAGGCCACATCCGCCAGATTGCCCCTCACAGCATGGTGCTGGGTCAACGCCGATCTTGTAGCTCCTCCGGCCACGCCCACAATCGCCTTGAGCATGGTGGAACAGCACAAGATTTGAGTGCTGAAATGCGGATATTTGGGAAGCACATAGATTTCAATGCCCATGGCCAGATCGTTAAGGAAATCCGCCCGCAGTCGCCATTTCTTTGAGTCCACATCCAGTTGGGAGCCCTTCCACCAGGCAAACAGTATACGGCCCACATGTCCGCTGCCCTCTTTCAATATCCAGGTGACTGTGGCGGAATACGCATTGATGTTCTCGCTTCCCACGCCGATTCCCTTCAAAATGGCATGCGTGCAGAGAGTTCCGCAGATTGTGCTGCAAAACGCCTGAGCCGTGTCCCAGATCTGATAAGCCGCATAATCCTCGCTCACACTATCCGGATAGCCCTTGGGCAGGAAGACCTTCTGCAGCACCCGGAAAAGCAGAAACTTCTCCTGGATCACCAACTTATCGCCACGCAGGGGCACTCTCACAATGTTGCTCTGATCTGAAGTTAGGATATGAGTGAGGGATTATTTGTTTAAAATATGTTTAATTTTTTATAATCTTTTTGGAAGTATACTAATATTTGAGTATTTTCAAAAACATTTTGTAGTTTTTGAATGGGAAAATCATACTTTAAGTGAAATTAGCTTAACCACAATCAAGGCTTGGCTTTACAATTTACATTCTTAAAATGCACTTAAAAAATGTAAATTTAAAGAAATTACAACGAAAAAAAGTTTATGTGAAAGGGATAAAAAATTAATTTACCATTTGGAATTCAAATTTTGGATGTCATGATAATTTGTTTTATTTTTATAAGAATATTATTGAAGTTGATAGGAATACCAACTTTGATTAAAGAAACGTCCATATCACATAGGCTAAAAACAAAACTATGGGAACATGTAAGTCCAAAAATAATCAATTTCAACGTGGCAGATAGCCACTTGAAACGGTCTGAGGAAATTAGCTTACATAGGAACTATTCCTGATGGATTAACATAAAGATAGGTTCAGTTCCTTCCATAATTATGAACATTTGGTTCCATAGCTGCCATAGGAAGCCTGGGTTGTTGGCTGGTCGGTTTGATCGATTTGCTCACCTGCTGGCGTCACATAGAGGATTTCCTCACCCTTCCTCCCGTACTGTTCCCGAAAATGGATTTTCATCTTTCCTGTGCGTTTCGCCTTGCGGTGTATTGGTTCTGTCTGGAAATTAAGTTTTATCGCCTTTCCGGGGCTGGCTGGCGTTTTTCCCTCCAAGTGGTTCTTTGGGGGGCTCCAGCAGAAGAACACCACCCACCTGGCACCACCCACAGCTTTTTATTTATGTCCGACGTCGGGCTGTCTGTCTCAGGCGAGAAGTCCGCGAAAATCCATCGGTTTATTGGCTACCGCAACTAAACTCGAAACAATCAGTGAACGCGGCGTTGCAAAGCGAACTCTAGGGCATTTTACAAGCAAGCTGATGGGGCTGCTTCAATTAAATAGTAGCAACTAATTGTAGTTCAAAATAAATATACCCCAAAAAGAACTTCTCCCCACGCCAACGATTTTCCGCACTCCCTCCCCCTTTCTTATCAGTCAGCTGTGCGCGGCCGCGTTTCGCTGTGAGTGCTGTAGTAGCAAGGTGTTTGCATTTTGCCGGAGAAATGGTCACACTTAAAATTTAATTTTTTAACAGTCATTATTATGATTTTGAGTTTATTAAGATTCAAGAAGATAGAATTTCAGAAAAAATTTAAATGTTTTTTATATACACCAGCATTTCCCGGTGTCTTTTTTTTAGCACTTAGGAAGTTTTTTAACGGATTTTAGCCAGATTTTAACATTAACATTAACATTGATCTCAATGAAGCTCATTTGTTCATTTTTAAAAACATCGCTAATTTAACGCTTTTCTTAAAAACCGAGCTTATCGACCATCTAATACCTAGCATGAAATAACATAGTAAGGATTATCTGACCAGCTATGTCGCCCGACTACAGCGTTCTTTCTTGTTTTTCTCTATTTTCTTATTACACTTTGCATTCGCTCTTATAACGCCAACGCCTCTTAATCTCCCTCTTAAAATACACACAACAAAATATATTTTAAGATGAATAGAATAGACAAGGTAAAAGAAATTGTCTTTTACGATTTCAAAAAAAAAGAAAGCAAATTTTAGGCTTTGTCCTTATTGTTTATGTGAACTTCAAATGGCATTCCAGCGAAAAACATGTGGATATATATATTTGGATATTTATGATGTCATGTTTTGAATGTGCGATAAATGTTTGCAAATTTAGTAGTAAAAGAAGTAGCACAATATGAATGATTGATTATACCCGTTACTCGTAGAGTAAAAGGGTATACTAGATTCGTCGGAAAGTATGTAACAGGCAGAAGGAAGCGTTTCCGACCACATAAAGTATATATATTCTTGATCAGGATCACTAGCCGAGTCGATCTAGCCATGTCCGTCTGTCCGTCTGTCCGGATGAACGCTGAGATCTCGGAAACTATGGGAGCTAGGCTATTGAGATTTGGCGTGCAGATTCCTGAGCTTCCTACGCAGCGCAAGTTTGTTTCAGTAGACTGCCACGCCCACTATAACGCCCACAAACCGCCCAAAACTGTGGCTCCTACAGTTTTGATGCTAGATAGAAAATACCTATCGATTGACCCAAAAAAAAGTTTGCCACGCCCACTTTAACGCCCACAAACCGCAAAACCCTGTGACGCCCACAATTTTCATGCTAGATAAAAAATTTTAACTGAAATGTATTGGTCTCGTCAAGACCTATCAATTGATCCAAACAAAAATTTGCCACGCCCACTCTAACGCCCATAACGCTTAAATCTGTATACCGCCGGTAGGTGGCGCATTTTAATCTCGCTTTGCTGCTTGCATATCTCCATTTAGCTGAGTAACGGGTATCTGATAGTCGAGGTACTCGACTATAGCGTTCTCCCTTGTTTTAATGTAGTTTCTATGAAATAAAACAGCAACGCTTTGTTTTAATGTTAGTTTTCTATGAAATCGAATATTTAAAAGTAAAGTATGCAGTGTAAACGCCTTGCACGAATTTTGAGAATTTCGAAAATGATGCTAGCAGTCTAAACACACTATAACAAAGGGATTAAATTTAAAAGAGATTTCTTCAATACTCAAACCCCCCAGAAATCCTTTTCACATCTCCCATGAATATCCACCACCACTCCCCTTCCGTTCCCATCAGCTGTTCACGTCTCGCTGTGAATGGCGTCAGCTGAGCGCAATTTGGGTCACACTGCGCAAACGGTCTCACCAACGGATAAGTTTATAAAAAGGAGCGTCCCGAAAGGTTCGCCAGCAATAACAGCTCAGCAGACCAAACAAAAGCAAACCAAAAACTATATAAAGTTCCAAGTGACAGCTATAAAGCCAAACAACAAACGCCCCAGTGATACCAACTAGTAGGGGCCAGTGTGTGATACAATCGTCTAAATTTAAAGTGTGAGAAACTGAGCAAACTTTTGGCAGCCGATCGAAAGACAAATTCCCGTTGGTGTGAGCCGAGTGCTACAAAAAAGTAAAGGAACACTAATAAAAACCAACCGAAAACAGGCAATGTCATTGGAGGATCTCAAGTCCAAGTTGCGTCGTCATCCCAAGCTAGTGGGCCTTGGAGGAGTGGGCCTCCTTACTGCGTAAGTAAATCCGAATCACGCCATAACAACCCAAAAAAACCATAACAAATACAGTTGATGAACAGCTGCTACAGGTCGCAAACACTCAGAAAAGCAAACTAACCGAATGTAATATCACCAATTTTATTCTAATATTTAATTCTTGGAAAATATAAATTTTACATATCATCTTATTACCTATAGAAAGGCATATTATTGTTAGTCATACAAGTTTTCTATCTGTGACGCAAGAAAAGGAAAATATAGAAAAACACCTTTCACTGATTCACTTACAATATTTACAGAGCTTACTTTGATTTAAGGGGCTCGTCCGCACACGTTTTCTCTATTTTTGTTGTCTTATTTCATATGGCGCCACAATCTAGATATACTATACGTATATATCGAGAAAAACAAAAACAACAACAGATCTTGTTTTCCGCATTTCCCATGCCAAGCAGGCGCACATGTGACGTCATTTGTTTACAACAAATTACACGATGAATAATCAGGCCATAAGCTAAAAACAGTTAATAGAAAAAGGTTGACAAACAAAAGGGTTTTCGGTGGTGTGACTTTAAATATATGTATGAATTTAAAGTTGATAAGAAGCGATTTTACCAATAAATTGATTTGCGCAATTCACATTATTTTTTTCTTATCAACTTAAGATATTAATATCTTTCGTATGAATTATTGGATAAATCATTTCTGTATAAATATTAAATATAAAGAAAGAAAGAATTATATTTTTATAACTTACTTTGATTTGAATACAATTTATTTTAAATTACTGATCCTTTGTTTCAATGAACTAACAGTAAGGAAAACTATAGTTTTATCAAATTACATTTTTATAGAGTATTTACATGGTCTTTATTTTCTCACCAAAACACGATCACAACAAACGTACGATTTTGTAAAAGTGAGATAGCAAGATGATAAACTTTTTGTTTTTGCCTCTGCTTCTTGTTCAGCGTGTGCGTGAACAGCTGTTCAAGGCCCCCCAAAAAAAAAGAAAGAACACTGAAAAAAATACCGGTTGCCAAAACTAAAATGGCGCCATAATAGTGCGCACCTTACAAATACTTACGAGAACCCCACGCGAACTTATAGTTCTTATCACAGGTGATAATATTGTTTTTCTTGTTTGTTTGGGACTTTTGGGGATGGGATAATGAAATAGTTGCTTTTGAACTTGTAGGTGACGCGCCCACTTTTTAAAAATAAACAAACTAGTCTTCGATTACGTTGTTGTTGTTTATCTCACGTTTATCTCAATAACAAATAGTTGGCATCGATAGGTGTTGTTGTTAAGGTGTTGTTAAGGTCAATTAATCAAAAAAGAAAACAACAACAAGTACCTAGTATAAAACGGAAGTTAAGATAAGAGATAAAAAGGGTTTACAAACAAGGAGACTTCAACACCTACCTTAATCCTTTTAAATCGTAGGATACAAACTATCTAACTTAATTTATATATATTTATATCTATGCGGAATATATATTATTTAAATTGAAATACTTAAAAATATTTATGAGGCTTTAACACTGAGGCGCACTTTAAGTACAAGCAAACAAACCAAATTGTAAACAACAACAAACTATAAATAATTGTTTATTTTACAAACAAAACAAACTGTCGGCAGCGGTAATGACTATTGTAAATAGTATACTATTAAATAATCAATAAAAGGAAACGAAAAATAGAAAATATAGAAAACGCTAAAAAAAAAATATTCGAATTTAATCCTAATTCAAAATGTATAAACACAAATCTTATTTATTTCCAATTTCAGAGCTGGTTTTTTGCTCTACGAGTCGCCGCAGGTTCGCCGCTTCCTCTCCCAGTATGTGGACAAGAAATCTCCGGAGCCGGACAAACGGCGCGCCGAGTACATCTACATCAAGTACCACATCTACCGCGAGTCCATGCGAAAGCTGAAGCAGAAGGAGGAGGACGAGAAGAAGTGGATCAGCGTGATCATCAATCCGATTGGGAAATGGTGGAAGGCGGCCAAGCACTCGGTGGCCTGGCGTCTACTCAACATTGCCCAAACTGGCAGCCAGCCGGAGCGCCTAAAGGCGGTCCAGCAGCTCATCTGCATGGATCATTTGAAGGACTGGGATTTCCGACATCTGGCCCAGATCTGCGATGCTCGCACCGCCGTCTCATTGGCCCGTTGTAATGCCGACACACGCTGGTTCATGCCCGTCCATCGGAGGGGCTGCATCAAGAATCCAAAGATGCTCCTCTCGGAGCTCCACGTGATGTTGGCCCGACTGCGACCCATGTCCTGCGTGGATCACTTCTTTAGCAAATACTTCCCCGAACAGGATACCATTGTAAGTCTACTTCTATCACGATTTGTTCTATTATACTAAAACATTGCTGTTTTCCTGCAGGAGGACATCCACGAATACTTGACCCAGGAGCAGACCATTGTTCTTTCCACAGCCGACACGGATTTACTCAAGGAAATCATCTCCTTCCTGCACCACATCACCAAGGATCCCGAGGCTTCGGCCAGGCTCATAAGAGACGGAGGCCTTGTGCACCTCATGGAGCTGCGAAAGATTTTCAGCGATGACAACGAAACTCTTTCGACTCTCTGCAAGGTGTTGGCCAATATGTCCCTAGTCCCCGATGCCGTGGAACATTTCTTCTCATCCGGTTGGGTGGGAGCCCTCGCCGAGTGGCAACAGTGCCCCGATCTGCGACTGCAGGTGATCTCTGCCAAGACGATGGCCAATCTGGATCACGACGATCCCAACCAGTGCACATATCCGCCGAATGTCTATCCGCTGCATCCGCGAGTTCGCACCCGCAGGAAGCCCAAGGCGGATATTGTTTTTGTCCACGGATTGCTGGGAGGGGTTTTCATCACCTGGCGGCAGCGCGACAGGAAGCCCACGGAGCTAGGTCTCTATGGAAAGAATGCCTTCTACACCAGCGAAACGGATGATGTGTTCCTGGTGGGCGAACAGAAGAGAGTTAATGGCAGCAAGCAAAAGAAGGAGCAGGGCAAGCCATTGGTAGCCGGACAAGCTACCGATGTGTCCAAAAATGGCAGTGCAAGCCCCAAGACGGAAGCAATTAAAGGTACATTTAAATATAAACCCTTGTTTGTCCTTAACTAACTCGCTCTTTTCTCAACTTAAGATCCTGTCTTGAAAGCCAGTAAAAAAGTGGAGGAACAGCGACTGAACATAAGCGATGCGGCTACCAAGGAATTCGTGGAAACCCTGCGAAACGAAGCAGAGTTGGACTCTGATTGGGAGGTGGTCCATCCGGATGTTCCTCTAAATGCCAACGAAGAGTGTGTCGGAAAATTCAGCGTGTGCGGAAGTGAGTGGCGCAACCAGGACACCTGTGAGGAATACACAAATTGCTGGCCCATGGAATGGCTGCCCGATGATTACCCAGATTCCAGGATTCTCGGTATAGATTACACTTCAGCGGTCACAGAGTGGTCTGCCAACTTCACAAAATACTGCCCGTGTGAAAAGGGACAGGGTCACATTGATGTGAGAGCCAGCACTCTGCTCGAGAGGATCTCCGCTTCGGACGTTGGCAACGATCGTCCGATTGTGTGGATAGGACATTCCATGGGCGGCCTGCTAACCAAGCTGATACTGCTCAAATCCCTGGACTCCCAGGACCCGAAGGTCCAACAGCTCGCCAAGAATACCAAGGGCATTGTATTTTTGGGTACTCCACACCGGGGTTCTCCCATTGCCAAATGGAAGCAGCACATGCAGATGATACTATCGCCCTCCATTGAGGTTAAGGAAATGGAGGAGAACTCGCCGAAATTGCTGGAGATGCATCGCCGATTTATGGGCTGCCTGCACACGTTCCTGCGCCATGTGAAGGTTGTCAGTGTGGCGGAAGGATCTCCCACCATGCTGACCACTTTTAAGTTCCCACTACGCATTGTCACGGAGGAGTCCTCTAAGATAGATTTCGGGGACTTCTATCTGCTGAAGGATGACCACCTGAGTCTCTCCAAGCCGATTTACAGGCAATCTTTTCTGTATCAGAGACTATTGCATGTAATCCGGGAGGCCATCAAGGAGAAATCAGATCCAAAAGATCAGGATGGGCATTCGCAAGTCGCTCCAAGTCAAGATGTTGTGCTTATGAACATCGTGGCTTTCCTATTAAAGGGAGCCAAGGGTCTGTTTGAATCGCTGCCCAGAGTCGCCCTAAGATTTAGCACTTAGGGTGGGTGACCATCCCGCTACACGCTAGTACCTTAATAGTATCCCGATTAGTCTAAGGAGCCTTGTAATGTATTTGCCCAGACTGAGCAGAGCTCTTAATAGGGGCTATTGCTTTTCGATACGACGCATCACCACCATTATCAGATCCTTGTAAATACTCTCGCACTCCATGTAGCTTCTTAAACCTTAATCCTAATTTATTTATCTCGGTCAACGACTTAAACGTTCTAATAAAAATACATACATGTTTTACACTAACAAGGATATCTTTTAATTTGGCGGAAATTGACTTTAGAATTTAGTTGTTATTTAAATAAGGTTTTGCACAGGGATTCGCTTATTAAATACATTTATTTTAAAAGATTATTCTTATCAAAAATAACATTCTTATATTATATATATTTATTCGGTGCCCAAGTTGCCTTGCATTAACTAGAATTCTGAGCCTCCTGGAGCTTCTTGGCCTTCAGTCGCTCCTGTGCCAATCTCCGGTTCTCGGCAATCCTGGCCATCTGCTCGTTAGACAATTTTTTGGCCGCTGGCGTCGGAGGCTGTGAAGGAGGCAGCGGCTGGCCATAGTCACTGACGTCCAGCGAAGCCAAGGGAGCTCCATTGCGATCGAACGTTGGAGCCACCGGTGCTCCATTGCGGTCGAAGGTGGGAGCATCTACCGCAGAGTATGGCGTGGACATCACAGCATTGCCTCGAGAGAATGAGGGAGTGGCCATCGTACTGTTGCTCGAGGCAGTGGACATTTTCCTCTGGTGCGGGGTGCGTGGCGCCAGTCTGGACATGGCTATCTGTTCGCCCAGCAGCGCATCAAACTCATCGAAGGGCTCATCGCCGGCACCTTCCGGCTGATCATCCTGTCCCTCATCCATGGCCTCCGCCTCGTGGGCACGCATATCCTCCAGCTGACCGAGACGATAACGCGTCATGTGCACCTGCAGTGGCTTCTTCTTGCCCAGTCGCTCTATATTGTTGAGCACATCGTCAAAGGTGTATGTGGGATACATTCGATGACCCCAGTGCTGCAGGCGGCGCATCACCTCGTCGAGATCGGATTTCTCATACCCCTTGCCCTTGAACTTAATGTCCTTGAAGTAATCCTCGATGGTCTGGATTCCACGGGGACCGCGAAGTGTCTCTACCGTGAGCCGGGGTCGGGGATTCCTCACCGCCCGTTTCTTGGGCTCCACTTTCTGGGCATCCTGACTACCAGGTTCTCCGGCATTTTCCTCGTCGTCCGCAAAAAGTTTCTCGCCCTCCCCATCGCTGGGCAACTGATCCGGGTCCGTGGCCAGATTGTCATTGAAGAGGTCATCCACACCATCGTCGCCAAATAGGGATGCCATGGACTAGTTTATTGGAAATTGCAGGGCGGAAAACAAAACTCAACCACAACAAAAGAATCTAACAAAATGTTGCCGCCATTTTCTTCTTCTTTCAAGTCTGTCATTCGCAGGCGACGCTTGCATAAGTTACAGGGCTGCCAACTGAATGGCTCTTTGTTCTTTTCTTTTTCACATTACATAACTGTTTGGACAATTTTCATGATTATTTGGTTTAGTTTGGAGTACATTTCATCAGTGGGTGGCAGGGAAAGAAATTTGTACAGCCACCCGGCTTTTGCGTTGGTGGCAACAGACAGTAGAGATGGGTGCGTGACGTATTTTCCATGCACGATTCAAGACTATTTCTTTTATTAATGGGTAATATTAATAGAAAAAGGTCTACCCCTAGAGGTTTAAAAAGTTTTTATGGCTTGACAACTTATTATTTTATACAAATAACTTAATCTAAACCTTAACCTAAACTACACATCAAAAAAAAATTTTATTTTGATATAGTTTTAATACAAAGAGCCCATGGCATCGAGTTGTTTTAAAGATCAACAAAAACATTGTAAGACATTATAATTTTTTTATACTCATGCATAATTTATTAAGGGAAGAGTAAGATTTTTCTTGCATTTGAAGTTCAATAAGAGTGAATCACCTTTGTTATTATTTAAACCATTATTTTGAGCTGTTGTCTCTTAAAACTATGGACAAAAACTGTTTTATTTATTCATAAATAGTACAGTTTCGTGAAAAATGAATTGCTATTACCATGTCGTGATTTTCGTGCACATCGCGAGCCAGTCCCATCTCTAGGACTCCAAAGCAACCCTGGAAACCAGGCCTGGCAACGCTAGCAAAAACGCCATACTTCCAAGAGCATTTTTCGGGGCGAGTTTACATTTTGCGGATAATTGTGGAAAAAGCGGTAAAAGAACGTGCAAACACGAACCGACAAATCGCTGCCTAAATGTGGTCACCACGTGCGATAAGAACGCCACGTTTAAAACGCTGAAACCATCAATACCTGGCCGAAAAAAGAGCGGTTCTTTGGCTAAGGGCGAGCGAAGAAAATTAAGTGTGGTGGGAATCGGAATCGGGATTCTACGCATTGTACGGCGTATCAGCTGCAGAAGATTGTGTGCACCCCAAGCGAAGCAGGCGAAACCAAAACAAAACAAAATCGTTTGGCCAACTATGAGATCGTAGGACCGACGGCACGCGATTCAATTCGACCGCCATGGACAAGCGGTTCAAGTGGCCGCTCAAACAGCGGGCCATTTACTCGGATGCGCCCTATCATCACAATCCGTCGCGTGGCTACCAGAGGCATCTGCACGGCGGTCATCCCAATCAGCCGCAGCACCCGCACCAGCATCCCGGCAAGAGTTATGCGCGCCAGCAGTACGGCTATAGCCATGGCGGCGGTGCTTGCTACCGCAAACCAATGCCGCCACCTCCTCCGCCCGTTGCTCAGCCGCAGATGGGGGGCGGGGCCATGGCGCCACCCTCGTCTGGCGGATCAGTGGGTGCCGGCGCCGATATGGTCACCCTCATCGTGGAGAACAACAACCTGAAGCGCATGATTGTGCTCCATTTGAAGTTGATGCAGGAGCAGACGGACAGTCTGGCGGTGAAGGACAAGGAACTGGACGATCAGAGCGCCAGGATGGGCGCGGTGCTGGCGCAGAATCAGGAACTAAAGCAGGCAGTCGCCAAGCTGGAGGCAGCCAATGAGGATCTGCGCAAGCAACTGCGAAGGAAGAACCAGCGGCGAAACGATGATGACGACGACGACGATGATCACTCACTGCCACCTGCTGTCCCACAGCAGAGACCGATCCGCTGTCATGCCGAGACGCAAACTGTGATCAGGGAGCGGGAACAATGCACTCAGACCATAGATGTCCAACCGCAACTGGCGGAGGTGCAGCCCAGGAGCCTGCATGTGGAGGAAGTTCCAGCGGTGACCCACCACGCTGGAGTGGTCACGAACCTGCCAAGCAGCAAGCGCTCAGAGAGCAAAGGCCGCGGCGAGTTTAATGGCAAAAAAGTGAGCACCTTCATCCTGCAGCGTATGAATCAGGACTCCAAGCATCACATCCAGGAGCATTTGGACCAGCCGGAAGAACAGGCGATGCAGACGCAAGAAGAGCAGCTGCAGCAGGAGGACGACCATCTTCGGGAGGAGGTTCAACTTCCGGGAGAGGACGACCATCTTCGGGAGGAGGTTCAACTCCCGGGAGAGGAAGACCATCTTCGGGAGGAGGTTCATCTTCCTGAAGACGACGACCATCTACAAATGCAAGAAGTGCAAACTGAAGAAGTTGTTGGGGGCGATATTTTCCACGATGCTTTGGAATCCATTGAAATGGAGGTGGTTACCGAGGAGATGGTGGTATTGGAAGAGCATGTACAAACTGTAGATGCTAACGGCCATATGGAGGAAGACGATGAAGAAGAAGATCAGGAGAACTCGGATGAAGAGGAAGATAGTGAGGAGGACGATGAAGACGACGAGGATACTCAATCGTTGGACACTAATTCAGATGCACACTTTCGAACTGAGGACGATCTCTGGCAGAATCAGGTGAGTTTGATGAGATTCATCAATCATAAGAATATGTCAAGCAAACCCCTAATCTTGCAGATAAGCTCTATGGAGTTGGACACGACGGAGGAGAAGGCCTTGGCGCCTTCGGCACACTCAACCCCCAATCATTTGCCGAAGTCTCTGCCACATGCGGAGGTTAGGAAGGAGGAGCATCAGGACTGGAAGGCTGAAAAGCTGCTGCAACTGGAGAACGATCAAAAACAACTGGATCAGGAACTAGAGACCAGTGACCAAATGGAGGTGGACAACGTCAAGATCGTCTCAGAAAAAAAGAGAATCGAGGAAGAAAAGATTGCAGGAACTGCATTGAAAGCCCTGCTTCTCCTGCGGGAAGCGGCGGAGGAGATGGAAAAGGGCAAGAAGGTGGCGGAAATACGTAAGGAGCAGGAGGAGCATCAGGATGGAGCCACAGAAGAACTGAAAGCAATAAAAAAGCTGCAGGAAGTTCCCAAGGCGGAGCTAAAACCGCACGATCCACCCAAGGAGCATAAGCGACAGGATCGTCAAGAGGATTCTCGCGTGGAACAGCAGGAAGAGGTACGCGAGGAGCAGAAAGAAGTCCTTAAAATGCAACCGGAGGATGCACCCAAGCAGCTGTTAAAAGCGGTAGCACCCAAGGTAGCTGCTGTTCCAAGTCCATCTGTTAGGGAAACTAAGTTGCCCAAGGCCAACACCGCTGACATAAAAGCTTCTCCTGCTCAAAAAAGTATACCCAACCATCAGTCCACCAAGACACAAACTGATCCCGTGAAAAAGCAGCGTTTGCAGGTTAAGATCAGGCAGTATGAGATGTTCTCTGGCATTAGGAATAGCTCATCCGCCCAGTTCGATGCACGAAAACACAAGAACACTGATCAAGACTCGGGGCTCGAGACAAAGATCTCGAAACAAGCGTTGGTCAATGATAAAAGGATCCCTTCGGAAAAGTCTCCGAACCAAGATCAGGACATAGACCACGTGGAGACAGTTAAACGCAAACTGCAGGAACATTTGAAAAAGGAGCTGCTTAGTCAGAGTCAGCTGCCGCAAGTTGCGCTTAAAAAGCCTATCAAGGAGAGAACAGTCACAAACCTAATCTATCCACCACCCAGTGCACCAGTATCCTCTACCACAATAACCCCAGCGCCAACGCCGTCGACGACACCTACGCCCGGCTCTACGCCGCAGCCCACGCTCACATCCTCGATGGAACCGGAAATTTCTGCGTCAAAATCCAAATCCAAGGCAGCTGAACAAATAGCCACTCCTCTGACACCTCAGTCCAATAGCAGTGTTAGCAGCAGCGCATCAACGACCAGAAAACCCCTAAACAATTGTTCACCCCACACTTACAGCAAGGCAACTGCGAGATCGGGAAAATCCAAGTCCATATTCCGAACCGCCACCTTTCCGTACACCACGAGAACGTGGGAGGATCAGGAGTTCCACTGTGACAACGAGTTCTTCCTGGAAGAGGCCGACGAGCTCTTGGCGGATAATCCTAGTCTGGAGATTCCTAAGTGGCAGGATGTCCCAGTGCAGCCCAGTTCAAGTAAAAGTAAATTAGAACAACTGAGCGATGCTGCTTTCGAGCGGCGGCACCAAAAGTATGTGAAGGATGAGATCGATCGCAAGTGCCGGGATGCACGTTACATGAAAGAGCAAATACGGCTCGAGGGGCTAAGGATGCGTCGGAACCAAGACGAGGTGTTGGTTGCGCTGGATCCGCTGCCCACGTCCACCTTCTACCCGCTGCCCGAGGACATTGAAGGCATTCAATTCGTCAACGAGGTGACTGTTCAAGCCTTTGGCGAAAACATGGTCAACATGGAGGCACGAGACGATTTCGGCGTCGCCTGGGTGGATGCTGTCGAAGCGCCAACCTCCATAGCAAGGTCCAAGGCAATGGCTGAGCCGGTGGCAACGTTGGCCAGCAAAAAGCTGCCCACCACAGCCGCCGAGGCGAGGCATCAAGAAAACCACTCCTCCTACGTGTTTCCCAAGCGACGCAAGCGCCAGAAGAATCGTTAGCCAGGACGCTTCTGGGAGATCTGCTACGGAAGTTGAGCTAATGAGTGGCGGTTGGGCTGAGGACGTTGCGTTTACCATACTGATGATTTTCATTTTGTAATTTTTAATTATTTCATAAGCGTAAAGTGAATGCACCAGAGTTAACAGTAACGAATCCCAGAGATCGTCAAGATGTCATATAATCCAGATCAGACGATACTTCTTGTACATATGGTTCCACATATATGTATATGACTTCTGGAACTTTTTAAAACTTGTTTTTATTTTTGTAGATCTATCAATTTGTAAATTATAATCGCATAAATTCTGTAAATGATTATTCAAACAATTAAGATTCTATTTGATATTAAATGGAATTGTAAAAGTTAAAATCAGTGCAGCTAAAGTATTTTCCAATTTTTTAATTGTATTTTCCGTCGCCTGGTCTGGAAATGATTAGTTTTAGTTACCGTCTTGCAATCTGTTGAAATTCTAAAGAGTTTCGCTCTCGCTTGTTTCAAATTTACATAATTAGTCTCACAAAACATTTAATCTATTTCACTCGCTAAGTTAGATCGGATAATCCATCTCAGCTTTATCCCCTTTAAGATCGCCCGTACTGAAGTGATAATAACGAAACCGAAATGATATAATGTTCAATGGGCTTTTTTTTTGGCGAAACATAAAGAAATTCGTAGACTTCTATTTTTAAATATTTTTTTCCTAGCTTTTATTAAATTTTTTTCTTTATTTATACTATGTTATGTCTTGATGATTTTCTAATGCAGACAACGAGTGTGTTGCGAAGAGTTACTCAGGTATATCTCTGATAATTTCCTTTTTGTGGGTTTGATTGTATGTAAAAATTGTATGTGTTGTTGTCTGCTTAGAGTCATCAAATTTTACATTTAACGCATTGTTTTATTTTATTAACTTCTTTTAACTTGTTTTATGTTTTACCAAAAACAACCGTTGAAAAACACAAACAAGAATTCAAAAATAAATATAAACCTGATTTCCAAGCTGTAAACTTGTTTGGCCCCAAAGGCACCATAAATTCTGATAGAATTCTGATTTTCGTTCAGAACGTCTTCTGTTTGACTTTCTGTCGCACTAATAAGGAGCCTGCCAACGTCCGGTGGAAATGCAATCCCCAGCTTGCCTTCGATTTGTACATTTCAGTAGGTGTTAAGTCGGTTATTTGTAATATAGCGTTAAGTAGACACGGGTAATCCAAACGCATAGAGAGATAATTATAACAAAAAGAATACGATACATTGTACATTGTCCAGGAGGAGGAGGAGAGGAAGGTGGAACGTCGTTCATCACCCTTTTTACACCATTCGATGTAATTAGCGTTAATTAGTTCAATTTACTGAAGCTTCAACTGAAAATCAATTCGAAATTAATTGCCACCTCTGTAGAGCCCAAAAAAAACATACACTTACTTTACTCTAAGAATAAATGTACTACATACAATGTATTTGTATTTGTTTAACAAGTTTTATTGTAAAGATAATGATAATAATATATCGGATAAAGTAAATTGTAAAGCAACAAAATGCAATCAATACTTGGACTTGCAACTTATTTTGCACAGGTGATATGTTCATGAATTCCTAATAATTGACATACGGGTTCAGAATCGCTATTTATCAGTCCTTTCCGGCTTTACTTACGGATTTGGTTTTAATATAGTTCTGGTTTCTATAGTTGCCTTTTTTGGTACATAAAGTTTCATTGCACATGTATAAACTTCACTTTAACGAAGGTAAATAATATTTTATATGGACTGTGACAAATTGTTCCAGACATTCACTAATACTTATGGAAAATTTTCCGAGTAAAACACAACATACATATAACTTCTTTGATAACCAGAACAGCTCAGGTAAAATCTGTAAAAATATCTCTTAAAACCGGAAAAGGCCAGCTGGATTCTATATATATTATTTATTGCTCTGCGTCAAGTACTGATGTCCGGTGGTCGCCCACAGCTCATCCACTTCCTCCAGGCTCTCGCGCCACAGCTTCTGGAGGAGTTTCCATCCCTGTTCCTGGGTAACCAAAAGGTAATCGTTTGTGGGATGCAGTGTGTGGGTGTAGAGACCCATTACCAGGCTCTGAACCAATCGGGCAGCCACACAATATTTGAGATGAGCCAGCTCGGAGTTCTCGATGGGAATACCACTGGTGTAACCGGCCAAAAAGATACCTCCACTGGCCAGATCGTTGGCCTGCAAGATCATATAGGTAAGGGCGACTCCAATTTCAAAGATCAGCGGCGATTTGCTCGTATCCCCGAAGTCAATAACTCCCTTGATGGTGTATTCGGTTTGATTGGGGGCCTGCTCTACAACTATGTTCTGTTCGTTGAAGTCCCCGTGAATGATCTGATGCTCCAAGGTGGGCAATAAACTAAGAACCTTCGATTCGAAGGCATCAATAACCTCTTCGCAGATGAGTCGGCGTTCCTGATCCTTCACCACGTATAGAAATTGTCTCAGTTCCGGAACACTCTGCAGCATCCACAATGTCTTGTGCGTTTCGTATGCCTGGTGGGTAAAATTCTTAAGGGCCCGATCCAACCTGGCCAAGTATTCTCCACTGCGATAGAGCAGATGCTTTGTCGCCGGCACCTGGTGGAAAATTTCACCTGGTATATATTCCAAAAGCCGCACCACATTCGAATTTCCATTGAGCCGCTCCACCGAGTAATACTTTCCAGTGGCATTGGCTATCGGCCTGGGGCACTTTACACTCTGTTTCCCTGATTAATTAAATGTATTAGTTTAATTTAAGATAAGGTTAGTGGGCAACTATTACCCAAATAAAGCAGCAGTTGATTTTGGCCATCCACAAAGTCCTCTTTCTTGGAGTCCAATGAGTTCAGGATCTTAAGGACGTATCCGTGTGGACAGTGGGTCACAATCAGGGGGTTCTTTACGTTGCTGTAATGGAAAAAATGCTTTTATTTATTTTTAAGTGACAATTCTAAACAAAACTGAATAAATATTTAAATACGAAATGAAAGTAATGATTTTATAAAAATATTTGAATAAGTTTTTAGATAAATGATATTTAAAAAGTTTTAAAAGAGTTATACTAAAAAATCCTATTGCTAGTTTTCAGACTGCAATGTATTGCCTAAAGGTTTATTTTATTTAATAGAAACCCAAAATAATAATATGATCAAATATAACTTTCTCGGACCAGTAATTAAAATAATTAATTTAATACGAATAAAGATTTTATAGAACTAAATGAATAAAGTCTTCTAAAAGTCGTTTATAATAAAATAAGTCTTTTATAATATAATTGTTTAAGTTATAGTTACGTATTCATATTTAAAAACCCATTGGCTAGATTTCAGTGTTGGTTAAAGTTCTTGGAAAGACTTCCGTGTGAATGGCAGTTTGGTGTTTTATAGTTGCGCACTTCGTCCACACTGATGCATTGGAACGGAACATTTTGGCGCTAAAATCTGTGATTTTGTTGATTGTTTTTGTGTTTATTGTGTTATTATTGTTAGTCCAAATCATGGGCATTACGGGTTTAATACCCTTTGTGGGAAAGGCCTCCTCGCAATTGCATTTGAAGGATATTCGCGGCAGTACTGTGGCCGTGGACACATATTGCTGGCTGCACAAGGGAGTCTTTGGCTGTGCGGAGAAGTTGGCGCGCGGCGAGGAAACGGACATTTATGTACAATACTGCCTTAAGTACGTAAATTTGCTGCTATCCTACGACATTAAGCCCATCCTTGTGTTCGATGGCCAGCACTTGCCGGCCAAGGCGCTGACTGAGAAGCGGAGGAGGGATTCCCGGAAGCAGAGCAAGGAAAGGGCGGCGGAGCTCCTGCGATTGGGGCGCATTGAGGAGGCCCGATCTCATATGCGTCGTTGCGTGGACGTTACCCATGATATGGCCCTTCGCCTAATTAGGGAATGCCGCAGCAGGAATGTCGACTGCATTGTGGCGCCTTACGAGGCGGATGCCCAAATGGCCTGGCTGAATAAGACTGATGTGGCCCAGTACATCATCACTGAGGACTCCGATCTGACGCTCTTCGGGGCCAAGAAAATCATCTTCAAGCTGGACCTCAATGGCAGCGGTCTCTTGGTGGAGGCGGAAAAACTTCACCTGGCCATGGGTTGCAATGAGGAAAAGTATCACTTCGACAAGTTCCGACGCATGTGCATCCTATCCGGCTGCGATTACCTGGATTCACTGCCTGGCATTGGACTGGCCAAGGCCTGCAAGTTTATACTCAAAACGGAACAGGACGACATGCGAATAGCATTGAAGAAGATTCCTAGTTACCTCAATATGCGCAATCTAGAGGTGAGTTCTCATTTAGGTCTTGAACGCATTAGCTAATTTACATGTTCCTCCCAGGTAGATGACGACTACATTGAGAACTTCCTCAAGGCGGAGGCCACCTTCAAGCACATGTTCATCTACAATCCTCTAGAGCGTCGCATGGAGCGCCTGTGTGCCTTGGAAGATTATGATACCGATGAGCGCTACTGCAGCAATGCTGGCACCTTTCTGGAGGATAGCAATCAGGCCTTGCATTTAGCCCTGGGCAACCTGAATCCCTTCTCGATGAAGCGATTGGACTCTTGGACACCAGAGAAGGCGTGGCCAACGCCAAAGAACGTGAAACGAGCCAAGCACAAGAGCATTTGGCAAACGAATTTCGAAAAACAGAACACGCCGACGCCGAAGAAACAAAACTCTTGTGCTCTGTTCTTCAAAAAAGTAGATTTTGATGGAAAAACTATTGACGAGGAAATCGCGGCCAATCAGCGATTGGAAAGTGCGAAACACACGGAGGCCCAGGTGTTTACCATGTACAGTTTTAAAGCCAAACGGAGAAGGAGTCCGAGCAGGGAAGAATCGTTGGATCCAGCGCGTACACCTCCTCCGTCGCCAGTGCAGAAGAGTCGCCACAATCCCTTCGCCAGGGAACGGACAGTGGAGGAAACTTCCCAGCGATCCCCGGTGGTTTGTGAGAATGCTTCCTTGCTGCGACTGCTCAGTCCCAAGAAGGCAAGTCCTTCGGGCGGAGGAACTGATGAAAAGAGGGTTGATTCCCTCAAAAGAAGCATTTTCGCTAAGGAGCAAGTGCAGGTGCGCAGTCGCTTTTTTGCCTCACAGGATGAACAGACAAGGCTTCAAAGCGAGCAGCTGAAAGAGCAACAAAAGCATGACAATGATGAGCAGGAGCGGGGCTCAATCTTTAGCCATAAAAAACTAAGACTAGAAAAGAAAGACATTCCAGAAGAGGATCAGGAAAGACAACGTTCTAACTCGCTAAGCAGTGAGAGAGAAACCGATACGGAAACCACTGCCTCTTCACAAGAAATATCCATCCCGTCGTCACTAGAATTACAAGAAGATCCAGCCATATCTGAACCAAAAACACCCACTAAAGGTAGTACAAAAATCAGCATTAAATCCCTAGACTCACTAGTGGATAACCCTCAAGCACCCGCCGATTCCGATGGAAACAACAATGATGCCATCATCCTGCTATCCGACGACAGCTGCAGTTCAGAGCAAACGGCCTCATCCATCTCAACAGCCACACTGCAACGACAGAACTCACTGCCATTTAACAAGCGAAGAATTGGGCTGAGTAAACCCTCCACTGCGAAAAAGGGAACTCCAAAGAAAAAGACGAACGGCAAACTGGGACCCGTGAGTCAAAATCAAACCAAGCTAAGCATGTTTGGCTTCCAGAAGAAACCTGTGCTCAAATAGATTGCTATTTCTAGAATGTAACCTTTTTGTTCTGTAGATTAATCTAATTTATTAAAGAAAAGACCTGAACTGACTACATCAGTGCTGAATGCCATGAATCCATCAAGATAACAATTGTGATGCTGGCAAGGTGACTGTCGACTGCGTCACACTCAACTGCCGCGACTAACAACTTTAATTAAGCAAGGTATAAATATATGCTACACCCCGCCGCATTTCTCCGGCGCATTATCATATGTTTTCGTGTTATACAGTCGTGCTTGGAACTGCAGCTAAAATTGCAGTCAGATTAACAGCACAGGAAATAAGTTAGGAACATTTTAAGTATGATTTTTAAAAGGAAATAACTAATGATAAAAGTAACTGATTCATGTATATTTAAACTTAAATGGTTCTTATTTAACTTTAAAGTGTTTAATTTTTGTGCTATTATTCTGACTGTAACTGTATGACTTATTTTCTGACGGCAGATAAACCTCCGGATGTGGTGATGGGTCTCAACCCATTATTAATAATAGTGTCAGCGAGATTCTCCCTTCGCATTGCTTACCTATCCTCCTTGACAAAGAAGTTCCGATCGTCATAGGCGATGATTTCCTTAACTTCGCTTATCGTGATCCCGTAGAGACGTCGTAGCAGGCTCTCCACATCATCGGGCTCCACTTTAGGCCGCACATCCGATCCGGGCTTGAGCAGATCGCTTTCCACAGCCGGTTCATCCGTACTTGTGCCATTTCCATTTCCATTCGAGGACGTCGCATTGTTCTCCTTGTTCAACTTCTCGGCTGCATCGTACGCATGATTCAGAGTATAGGACTTTTTGGACATGTTCGTCAGCTCTACATTATTCCACTGCTCCATTTTATTTCGGGGCTCTATCGGAGACGCAAAAGACCAAAGGCCAAGAACCCGTAAGTACGCTAATATCAATTAGAAGGCGAATAAGAGCCGAGGTGGAAAATGTTTTCGGTTGCGCGTTCTACAGCGAAATGAATTGTGTTTCAGTAAGAGTCTCAATTGAAACGAGTTCGTCGACGTCTTCTCCATATCTTATTCGCAAGTCTGTGTGCGTTCAAGTACAGTCAAGCAACGCTCATTTAAACCACGATTTTTGAATGCTAAGATTTACTAGAATATTGTTTTTAAATAAGCTAATTTTTCCATAGTTATATCCTGAGCTTGCCGGTTGTATAAGATTTTGTTTTTGTTTCAGAAAAAGACTTCTAAAAAATGGAATCTTAAATTTGATTAGCCATTTTTATACCCGTTACTCGTAGAGTAAAAGGGTATACTAGATTCGTCGGAAAGTATGTAACAGGCAGAAGAAAGCGTTTCCGACCCCATAAAGTATATATATTCTTGATCAGGATCACTAGCCGAGTCGATCTAGCCATGTCCGTCTGTCCGTCTGACCGTCTGTCCGTCTGTCTGTCCGGATGAACGCTGAGATCTCGGAAACTATGAGAGTTAGGCTATTGAGATTTGGCGTACAGATTCCTGAGCTTCTTACGCAGCGCAAGTTTGTTTCAGTAGACTGCCACGCCCACTCTAACGCCCACAAACCGCCCAAAACTGAAACTCCTACAGTTTTGATGCTAGATAGAAAATTTTAACTGAAATGTATTGTTCTCATCAATACCTATCGATTGACCTAAAATTGCCACGCCCACTTAAACGCCCACAAACCGCGAAAACCTGTGACGCCCACAATTTGGATGCTAGATGAAAAATTTTAACTGAAATGTATTGGTGTCGTTAATACCTATCGATTGATCCAAAAATAAATTTGCCACGCCCACTCTAACGCCCATAACGCTTAAATCTGTCTACCGCCGGTAGGTGGCGCATTTTAATTTCGCTTTGCTGCTTGCATATCTCCATTTCCCTTTGAGTAACGGGTATCTGATAGTCGAGGTACTCGACTATAGCGTTCTTCCTTGTTACTCTTGGAAATGTACATTAGTCGAACATCTACAAAATGACTAATAGTCATAGAAGTGTACATTAATGTTTATTTAATAAACATCTACAATATGGCAAATACAGCTTTTTTAATCAAGAAAGCTTAAACTTATTTTTCTCAAATTCCTAATATTTTGTTTTTGAATTTCGGAATAAATACATTTTAGAAATGTGGTAACTATTGAACATGGAACTACCACTAATTAATGCTTCTGTTGCGTTGTTATTTAAATAAGAATCTCATTCTTGACTTATCTTTGTATGATTTTCGGTCCCCCCTGTATTTGCTTAGCGAGGTCTGACTGTACCTGCGTAAGATTCTGTCCCGTGAGTTTTATATCGTGTGGGCGAGTGTGTGAGCCTCTGTCGCCACTTGCAGCGTTAACTTGGTTATTTGCTTAATTTGTTAAAGCCAAGTCTGTTTGCATTTTGATTGTGACTTCAGAGGTGCAGTAGATGGGCTGTATTTTCGACATTTTTCGGGTCTTATCGTGGGGACAGTGGTTGCCCAACCGTGGAAAAGTAAACTCCCAGTCGTGATCGGCTTTGGTTAACGCTCCAGTTGGAACCACATCAATTATAAAGGCATATACGTAAATCGAACAGATTGCGGGTATTAAATAAACTAATACGGAGTTGGCAGAAAGCAAAAAAATTCAGGTCATAAATTTAATTGTCAGCGGAATAATATGAGTATAATTTATTCGGCTGGAGAAAGGTGATGCTAATTGAAGCGAGTGATTCTCGCAGTTAGCCAATCGAAAGCCAATAGTTGACCTTGACTCAATTGCAGTTTATTGCTCATACGCAACGATGTACGTAACTACGATTTTCTGGGCTCACACATACCGATGCGAAAGCTCCCGCTCTCACTCACACACACACTCAGTTGGTGGGGTAATTAAAAGCCAAATATATTGTGCATGTGAGACACGCAAATATGCACAGCTGACTGCTAATCAAGCACATAAACAAGCCGCCGAACACACATAATATACCTAATAAAACCCAGCTTATTTACCTGACCACGACAATGCACCTGTGTCTCGAATGGGAAAATAAGTTCAACTAAACTGAGTAACTTAAAAAACAATGCGCCTGAAAACTGACCAGGCGTAAAGTCGGTTAGTTTTAGGCCCTTTTGCAACGGCTTCACCTCACCTTTAAGTTTGCTTATGTAAACAGACAAACTTAGCAACTAACTTTGATAATAACAACAGTGCAACACTTGAAAAACAATAAGAAAAATAATAAACGAACACATTCAAAAATTCAATTCAAAGCAATGTGCAGGCACGCCGACAAGCGAATGGCAACTGTTGCTGCTTCTTACGCTTCAACATCAGCTGATTTTCTATTTACATTCATCAATACGTTTGTCAACACTAAAGGGCGGGAGATTTGAAAACTATCAGTAAAGCGCTTTATTTGTAAAGTCTTTGATAACAGCAAAAACATCAGTGAAATAAATATAAGTATTTCAGTACTGATGTGAAAGGATTGAGGGCAAATGTAAAAGCAAAAACAATTGTGCAATGTTTGATAATAAAGGTATCCAGCGCAAGATAGAATAAATATTTGAAAACATTGTTTTTGTTTTTCACCAAGCCGCCTTATGCAGTAATCTTATAAAAGTTCCCCACAACAAAGACTTCAAACAAGACAACTAAAACTAAATAAACAAAAAAGAAAACACAATAACATGTCCCATAAAAAGACAAAAAATAGCGTAGTGATCGATCGGGGTAGAGATACCCCATCAGACCCTTGGATAATTTCCTTTCCCTTGCCGGAGCACAAGGATCCGTCTCTGTGCCGAGATGAGTTCCTGAGCTCCTTGATAAAGGAGCACGAGACCAGGGCGGAGTCCCTGAGGCCCCGATCGACAATCCGCGACATTTCGGTGCCTGTAGTTGTGAAGGAACAGGAAGATGAGGTACAAAAGGGGGCCGAGGCTATGGTTGTGTTGCAGCTGGCCAAGCAACGCCAAGCAGGGCCGCAGAGGAAAACAGTTGAGGAAGTCTTGGCCAGCATTAGAATGAGATCGACCCTGCTGGCTGGACTGAATTACCAGTGCCAAAAGGCGGCCATCGAGTTCCTATCGGTGCGTCTGCTCAAGCAACTCCGCCTTTTCTCGAGTCCCTGGCCGGGAGAACTGGAAGAGATTCCCCACAACCTGTTCAGCTGGTCGCTGGATGAATTCATGAAGCGCCTGAACATGAAGCAGATCTACCTGGACGTCATCCGACGGGAGCGAAGTGTAGAGGATCTCGATTGTGTAAAGTTCTGCAGGGATCTGAGCGAGATCGAACTCCTTATATACGAAATCCGTAAGGATTACCGCGACGATCAAGATCTCTGTAAAAACAGCATCCAGTTATTGCGGTAAGGATAAGAAGTCTGTTTTTTCCGCTCATAGTTAAAAATTATGTTCAAATAATCAGCTTTAACCTTGGCAAAAAATTTTTTACCCTTACTTTGATCCGCGGATTTATTTAAAAATGTTAAAAGTAATTAAATATATATTTTCTTTCCAATTGCAGGGACGCCCAATATAACACTAATGCGCCCTGGGTAAATACCCTCAAAGCGAATCTCCAAGGCATGGATGAGCAAGTGTCTAAAGTCGCGCTTGTTAATCGAAGCAGTTCCTATAAGATGGAAACTCGTCAAACATCGGTTTTGGGTGATTTTGAGATCGCAACGGGTGGGTGAGGTTATCATATCATATGGGCGATCACCCATTAAAGGCATCCCCTCTGCCCGCAGCTTTGGATCCCATTGAGGTGCGTTATCAAATCAACTGGTTACGGAGTTGTATGGATCAGCGTCTGATGCTGATAAACGGACGGGAGGAATCGGTGAGAAACGAACTGAGGGATACGGCGGAACACGCGTTGCAGGACCTATCGGTGCAAAATTCCTGCGAGCTCATGTATTCCCTAGAGTTGGGAAAGCTTAGGGAGAGCATTAAGACTTGGCAGGATCGACTGGACACCGATTTGGAGAGCGCCGACGTCCTTTGCACAGTTACGAAGCTTGCTGTCCAAAAGGTAAATGATGATCTGAAGTTCTACATGGAACTGAAGGACACGTACCTAAGAAAATTGGATGAGGTGCAAGCGCTTATAGCCTACGAGCAGATGACTCCTGAAGAGAGGGTAAGTTTCTCAATCTAGTTTTAGAGCTATTATTATATGATGAATCTAGGAACATGCCGCTAACAAGAGTCGCTTGTCAAGAAGGTCTACAAGGAAATCTGCGAAAAAGTCTGAAAGGAAATCTGAAATAAAAACTGAACGAAAGCCTGAAAGGAAGTCTGAAATGAAATCCGAAAGGAAGTCTGAAAGAAAATCTGAAAGGAAGTCTGGAATAAAATCTGAAAGAAAGTCTGAAATGAAATCTGAAAGGAAGTCTCAAATGAAATCTGAAAGGACGTCTGAAAGGAAATCCCGAAAATCAAAAGTGTGATAGTATATCCTTCGATTTGGACCATTTTACTTATGTATGTTTGCAATTTACCAACGAGAACATTAAAAGATATAAACATTAAGCTCGAGTATCTCCTTAACACAAATTCTTTGGGTAGATGTTACAAAAAAATACAAAGCATGCAGGAGCTTTTCTGTTGCTCTAATACATATAACACATTTACAAAAGTACTCAAACCAAAAAAACATTAAGTAAAATCAAGACAAAACCAAAAAAAAAACAAAAAATTATTAAGACAAAAAAAAGAATAGAGGGTTCCACCAAGATAAATACACATAATGGAAGAGGTTAAGGAGCAGAAAGGAACAACATTTGCAGATGATCCGTTACAGATAAATTTTCCGTTGCCGGATCACCTTGATCCGTCTAAGTGCCGTGATGAGTTCCTCAGCACGATCATAGAGGAGCACGAGCGCCGGGTGAGTTCGCTGAGGCGATCGTCAGTTCGGGAATCGTTGGGGATCATAAATCCTCTGGAGACCGATGCTCGGGTGAGCGATAAGGGCGCGGAGGCTATGGTGGTGCGCCAGATGGTCAAGCAGCGCCAGGGAGCGACCACCAGGAAGACCATGCAGGAGGTCTTGGAAAGCATCAAAATGCGGTCTAACATGATGTCGGAACTGTATTACCAGATACAGAAGGCGGCCATCGAGTTTCTTTCAGTGCGCATGCTCAAGCAACTGCGCCTCTTCTCGGGTCCCTGGCCGGGTGAGCAGGAGGGGATTCCCTACAACCTCTTCAGCTGGTCCTTGGATGACTTCTTGATGCGCCTGGAGGTGAAGCAGATCTATCTCGACGTCATCCGTCGGGAGCGAAGTGACGAGGATCTCGATTGCGTAAAGTTCTGCAGGGACCTGAGCGAGATCGAGCTTCTTGTACACGAAATCCGGGACGATTATCGCAGCAATAGAGATCTCTGCCAAAACAGCATCCAAATGTTGCGGTAAGTGTATTTAGGCTTGTAGAACAATAAACTTCGGAGTGGTCCAACATCGTTTGTTTCTTTTCATTGCAGAGGTGCCGAATACAATACGAAAGCGCCCTGGGTGAAAACCCTCAATGAGAATCTAAAAGGCATTCAAGACGAAAAGTCACGCGCCTTGCTTTTGAATAGAAGTAGCTCCTGTCTGATGGTATTTCGTCACGCATCCGTTATGGAAAACTTCGAGGACTCATCGGGTAAATGAAATTACAAGATCTATATCTACACTAAATTGTTAACCTATACTATGACTTCTCTCCGCCTGAAGATTTGGATCCTATCGAGATGCGTTATCAAATCAACTGGTTAAGAAGTTGTACGGATCAGCGTCTAATGCTGATAACAAGTCGGGAGGAATCGATGAGGGACGAACTGAGGAATACGGAGGAACAAGCGCTGCGGGACGAATCGGTGCAGTATTCCTGCGAGCTAATGTACTCACTGGAGTTGGGAAAGCTCAGGGAAAGCATTAAGGTTTGGCAGGAGCGACAGGACAACGATCTGGAAAACGCCGACGTTCTCTGCACCGTATCAAGGCTTGCTGTGCAAAAGTTAAAGGACGATCTGAAGTTTTACATGGAAGAGAAGGAAATGTATCTTCGGAGATTGGACGAGGTGCAGGCTATTATTGCCCAGGAGGAGAAGGCTCTCGGGGGTCGATTATCAAGGAAATCCGTGAGAAAGTCTGAGATAAAGACAGTGACACCGACTGAAATAGCTCCTGAGAGGAAGTCTGTAAGAAAGTCTGAGAGGAAATCTGTCAGAAAGTCTGAGCGGAAATCTGAAAGAAAGTCTGAAAGGAAATCCAGAAATTCTAAAGTGCAATAGTACAGCCTTCAATTTCGACCATTTTACTTATATACTTATGTTTGCAATTTAACAATTTACATTAATAAACTTGTTGAACTTAAGTAACAACTTTTCATGATGATCATAATGATCTACGCAAATTTCAATATTATATGTAAATAATAGGAAACGGATTTTTTCAAAAAATGTGACAGATACATAAGACTTGTCAAACAACAACCACGTTAAATAAAAAAAAAACAAAAAAAAAATATTTTTTAAGAGACGGGGTACACAAACAATAAATTAAAATGGATGAGGACAAGGATGAGATAGAAACGGATTCTTCGTCCGATCCGTTTAACATACAGTTCCCGCTGCCGCAGCACCTTGATCCGTCCCAGTGCCGTGATGAGTTCCTCGGCTTGATCATTGAGGAGCACGAGCGCCGGGTGAGTTCGCTGAAGCGATCGACAGTTCGGTTCACGGCGACCAGCATGTATCCTATGGAAACGAACTATCGGTTGAGCGAAAAGGGGGCAGAGGCCATGGTGGTGCGGCAGTTGGCCACTCAACGCCAGAGGAGAATCGGTAGAAAGACCGTGCAGGAGGTCATGGAGAGCATCAAGATGAGGTCAAACATGATGGCCGAACTGAATATCCAATGCCAAAAGGCGGCCATCGAGTTCCTATCGGTTCGACTGCTCAAGCAATTGCGCCTCTTTTCGAGTCCTTGGCCGGGAAAACTGGATGACATGCCCTACAATCTGTTCAGCTGGTCGTTGGATCACTTCTTGCTGCGACTGGACCACAACCAGATGTACCTAGATGTGATCAATCGGGAGCGGAGCAGCGATGATCTCGACTGTCTAAAGTTCCGGGCTGATCTGAACGAGATCGAACAAATCATATACGACATCCGAGAGGACTTTCAAAGGAACGAAGACCTCTGCAAAAGCAGCATACAGCTTATACGGTAAGAGGATTTACTAAATCACAATAGGTCTTACATGACTAGTATACTATTATTTTTAGTGATTGCAAGTACAATACGGATGGTGCATGGATTAAGGACCTTCAGGTCAATTGCCTGTTAAAGGAAAATCTAAGCCGCGATAGCCCAAAAGAAGAATCAAGCGATGTCCATTTACATAAACGTCATTCCATGATCATGGGTCGTTTTGAAGATGTTAGTGGTTAGTCAAGGATCTTCCTTACTCAAAAACAAATACAATGTATATTTTTCCGCAGCTCTTGATCCGATAGAGATGCGTTACCAGATCAACTGGGTAAACAGCTGCATGGATCAGCGACTAATACTTCTGAAGGACCGTGAGGAGAAGCTGCAGGAGGAGCTGAAGGATTGGGAGACCAAGCTGGGCCAGGACCAACTAGTGCAACGTAACTCGGAGGTAGTATACGCCTGGGAGGTGGACAGACTCAAATTGAGTTGCAAGGAGTGGCAGGTCAAGCTGGATACCGATCTGGAAAACATCGAGGTTTTGTGCACCATAAGTAAGCTTGCTTTGCAGAAGGTTAAGGACGATCACAAGTTCTTATTGGAGCAGGAGGAAATGTTCCGGCGAAGAATAGCCGAGGAGACGGAACTCATGGCGGCGGAGGAGAAAATTCGGCAACAAAAACAGGTGGGTTACTATGAGTAAAACTACTGATAAGCTCCTTAATATTATCGTTAAAACTTAATTAAATAAATCTGTTTTGATATTAAGCCTCGAAAGGATTATCAAATTTTGAAATAGATAAAAATTAATTGTAAAAGATCATTAAAAGTAATCTATATATTTTTTAAAATTTTTTGTAGGTAAAATCATCGGATGTGAAAGCGGCAGTAGAGGCCATAGAGGCGGTCTTTAAGCCAAGTGAACCCAATAAGAAGGCAGCGAAATTCTAAAGCTCATCAATATTCGACAAAATGTATTTATGTTGGCAACCCAAACAAAATAATCAAAATCCCGCAATGCATGAACTTAACCCCCAAAGGGTTGTTGCCTTCAAAGTCACTGTCAAAGGATCAGGCAAAATGGGGGTATTTATTCGGTCGGGGGAAGTGCGCCAAGTTAAGGCAAACATTTACCATATTCATTATTATTGGCGGGGACAAATGAAATTACTGGCAAACGATTCCCCCACATGCCGATTGCAGTTTAGAAAATCGAATTATGTGCAGTTTAGTCGCCGTAGTAACCCACCTGGAAAACCAACTCCACATCGGGGAACTATTATATCCTCATGCATAGTTATTTTATGTGCCGTGGCAACCTGAAAGTTGCCGCATAACTTCGCCCACGCTTGTTGCCTGGTTGGGTGAGTATTATTTACGCTTAGAAAATAGAGAGTAGAAATTTTCCAACGCCAGTCGGAGGCGGATCAGGTTTACCCAGATAAAATCCATTGGAATGCCCACAAATCTGCGACCAACGACCAATGGCAATGCTCCCGAGGACTGGCAGGTTTTTGAGGTACTATTCGGTGCTGAAAATGACACGAAAACCGGGAACGGTAGGATGACCACACTGTCACCTTTGGGACAACCACTTCCATCTCACCAGGTAAGCTGTTTGTCTGTCGCTAAGGTATCGTATCCCAATCTAAAATTAGTCTCGCCAAAATCGTGCGCCAAATTGCCATATAAACGTGTACACATCATATCAGGCTAGATTTATGTGAATTCGCAATTGAATAACGACTATTGTTCGGTGCTTTTTATGTTTCAAATTTATGCGGTTGTTAGGGGAACTAATGATGTTTGTGGGGGGATTTGCATAAAATTCGATGGGTCTGGGGGAGATACAGTGGTAGGGATTGCTAAAAGGATCGTGAAAGGTGCATAATGAGCGAAGAAAAATGTGGGGGAAGTTAGGAAGGGACATTATTTATTCAGGAACGATGTGTAAAGGGGAAAGAATATATTGTAATTTATGTATAGTTAGTTGTAGTTATGTATAATAAGTAAGTTTAAGATAAGTAAAATAAGTTTTAGTTTCTGAAGAAAAGGTACAATACTTTTTATAAATAAGAGCATTGTTTAACATTTTACCTTATCCATAACAATTATCCTTTAAAGACAACCCCTGTTGCCTGTAAAATTAACTTGGCCAAGCTTATCGAATGTTCAACACATTTTCAGTTCTCATTTGTCTTCGATGTTAACCCCTTCCAAAGTGCAGACAATTGGCCAAAAGTTGCACACCTCATTTTCCGTTTCCGGCCAGGTTGAAAATTTCCATTGTATAGCACATAAAACCTCCCTAAAACCCATACCCATAGTATCCGCATTCGCGTGCGTGAGTCCGTTGTGGATATTGCATTTGATACTTCCCCACTTGGCGCCATGTGAATGACCCAAATAATCCAAACAAACTGCAAAGTTTTCCGAATGTGTAAACGTGGCTAGAATGGTGTAACTCCACCTGAATCCTCTTCCTCCTCCTTCATATCCCTTTGCCCCTGCCATTGAGCTCGTTTTCACTTGGAGCATAAATATGAGCATTGTGTGATGTTATGTTCAGGTAAATTCCTTGGTTCCGTGCATCGGACTACCCTCTGTTGTTAGGTGGAGGTTGTTAGGCTTCCTGAAAGGAGTTTCTCCCGAATCAAAGCTCAGTTCTCCGACGGCTTTGACTGGGAACGGTTGGTTTAGTTTTTGGAGTGGTTGAAATCCGGTGTTAGTGGCTTTGACAATGCCCAGTGAAAATCATCTGCATCACCATCACTTGGGACACAGTGGTGGTCTGTCGCCGCATCATCATCACTTGGTGGGGATTGGCAGTAGATAGACAACATTAAAAGTGAAATTCAAAATATTTTTGACGGGCAAAAAAATGAAAAGTAACCACATATTGGTTTACTCAAAGAAGTGAAAAGTTCATTAAATAAAATCACTAAATTAAATAATTTTTTATCCATAGTAGTAGATCCAATTTTATTTTTGCCTTATTTAATTAATAATTATATTAATAATTACAGTTTAAATTTGCTTAACTAATTTTAAAAACATTTGAGTTCAAAGAACTTAATCCAATTTAAAATATAACTTGAGTGCGCAAAGCACTTGCTAAAATTTTAATAATCATAAACTTAAAAAAAACGTGTTTTCATCAATTATTTCACAAGAATAATGAGGGCTTGTTGATATTTTTAGGCATTACTATAGTTAAAACAAGGGAGAACGCTATAGTCGAGTACCTCGACTATCAGATACCCGTTACTCAGCTAAATGGAGATATGCAAGAAGCAAAGCGAGATTAAATTGCGCCACCTACCGGCGGTATACAGATTTAAGCGTTATGGGCGTTAGAGTGGGCGTGGCAAATTTTTTTGGATCACTCGATAGGTATTGACGAGACCAATACATTTCAGTTAAAATTTTTTATCTAGCATAAAAATTGTGGGCGTCACAGGGTTTTGCGGTTTGTGGGCGTTAAAGTGGGCGTGGCAAACTTTTTTTTGTATCAATCGATAGGTATTGTTGAGAACATTACATTTCAGTTAAAATTTTCTATCTAGCATGAAAACTGTAGGGGCCACAGTTTTGGGCGGTTTGTGGGCGTTAGAGTGGGCGTGGCAGTTTACTGAAACAAACTTGCGCTGCGTAGGAAGCTCAGGAATCTGCACGCCAAATCTCATAGTTTCCGAGATCTCAGCGTTCATCCGGACAGACGGACAGACGGACATGGCTAGATCGACTCGGCTAGTGATCCTGATCAAGAATATATATACTTTGTGGGGTCGGAAACGCTTCCTTCTGCCTGTTACATACTTTCCGACGAATCTAGTATACCCTTTTACTCTACGAGTAACGGGTATAAAAATGTAAAAAGTTTATTTTCCTATTTATTTAATGTTCTCTAAAGAAGAAATAAAATATGATAGATGAGGTTAGGTATCCTAATATATCTGCGTCTTCCAGCTGGACACATCGTGCGGCAATGCAGGAATCACCGTGACAGAACATCATCATGGACTGGACATGACCACCACGTTGCGCAGTGAATTAGCTGCGTTATCCTATAAAAAAGAAAGACTTTCGGGAGAGGTAAGTCCTAGCCGATTATCCTAAAACTTATATAAAGTATAGAATATCTCTA